GTGCATTGTTTAAGTTGGTTCAAGTTTGGACATGGGAAAGGTTTAGGGAACTACAACCAAAACCTAATAAGTTGCTACAAGGTCAGCCAAGATTGGGTCTTTGGGATGACCTGAAACAGCAAACCAATGATGTGAAGCAGATTTTGGAAAAAGAAAAAAGATGGCTGGCTACACGAAGTATTCGCGAAGACATGGCCACACATGCAAAGTTTAATAATGGATCATAAACTACATGAACTATATGTATCGCATGCCTACATATACGAACTATATGTAGTCATGTCGCCAACATCACGAACATTTTTTTCCGGTACACTTTTCGCCGGAATCCGGCATTGACCAGTTTGACCGGCGTTGAACAACATAAATATTAAAAAAAAAAAAATTTAGTTTTTTAATATTTAGAAAATTATTTTATAGAATCATTTATAATATTGTATAATTAAAAATATATATACAATATTCAATATAAAAATATTTTGTATATATATTCAATGCATTGATTTTTATAATTAGTTAGTTTCAATAATTTCAAAACTAAACTAAAAATAAAACAAAAACCAATTAGGTAAAATAATTATAAATAGAAAATTTTAAATACTCTCTAGTCTAAAGTTTTTTTATAATACGTTGTTAATTTTTTTTGTAATATTAAAAAAATTTTCGTAACAATTTTAGATACAAAAATTAACAACATATTATACAAAAAACTTTAGACTAGAGAGTATAGAAAATTTCATATTTACAATTATTTTAGAGAAATTGTTAAAAATGCCCCTTTTACAATACCCTTTTCAAAAATGCCCCCTTTGAGAGTCCATTTTTAAGTTTGCCCTCTTTTAATTTTTAATAACCATTTTACCCTTATTTGAAACAAAATTAGGTCCATAAAATATAAAATATTTTTTGGCGGGAAAAGTGATCCCGCAAATTTTTGGCGGGAAACGTGATCCCGCAATTTTCCCGCCAAATTTTTTTTTTTTGGGGAAAAGTGATTCCGCAATTTGTTTGGCGGGAAATTTTTACAAGGTATTTTAAAGGTTTTACAGAGTATTTACAAGTGTTTTGTAAGGTTTTACAATGTATTTTAAAAGGTTTTACAAGGTACTTATAAGGTTTTATAAGGTATTTATAACTTGTAAAACCTTATAAAAAACTTGTAAAACCTTATAACTTGTAAAACCTTATAAAATATCTTGTAAAATCTTATAATATCTTATAAATACCTTATAAATACGTTGTAGTACCTTTAAAAATATATTGTAAAACCTTATAAATACCTTGTAAAAACCTTTAAAATACCTTGTAAATTTTTTTCGCCAAAAATTTAATGCCAAAAAAATTGCGGAATCACTTTTCCCGCAAAAAAATTTTTTGGCGGGAAAAATTTTACAAAGTATTTTAAAAGTTTTACAAGTTTTTACAAAATCAAATTTGTAATTTTGATGTGTGCACATTCTCATGTTTTCCTTATATATTTGTGATATCTTTTATTAAAAGAAGGATAATTTAGTCATTTTGTACATAAAAAGGGGTATTTTTAAAAATAGATAGCCAAATGGGGTATTTTTGAAAAGGGGTATTGAAAAATGGGCATTTTTGTGAGTTTCCCATCATTTTACCTAATTGGTTTTTATTTTATTTTTAGTTTAGTTTTGAAATTATCAAAACTAACTAATTATAAAAAACAATGCATTGAATATATATACAAAATATTTTTATGTGTGCACATTCTCATGTTTTCCTTATATATTTGTGATATCTTTTATTAAAAGAAGGATAATTTAGTCATTTTGTACATAAAAAGGGGTATTTTTAAAAATAGATAGCCAAATGGGGTATTTTTGAAAAGGGGTATTGAAAAATGGGCATTTTTGTGAGTTTCCCATCATTTTACCTAATTGGTTTTTATTTTATTTTTAGTTTAGTTTTGAAATTATCAAAACTAACTAATTATAAAAAACAATGCATTGAATATATATACAAAATATTTTTATATTGAATATTGTATATATTTTTTAATTATACAATATTATAAATGATTCAATAACATAATTTTCTAAATATTAAAAAAATAATTTTTTTTTTTAATATTTATGTTGGTCAACGCCGGTCAAACTGGTCAATGCCGGATTCCGGCGAAAAGTGTACCGGAAAAAAAATGTTCGTGATGTTGGCGACATGACTACATATAGTTCATATATGTGGGCATGCTATACATATAGTTCATGTAGTTTAGGATCCTTTATTAAACTTTGCATGTGTGGCCATGTCTTCGCGGATACTTCGTGTAGCCAGCCATCTTTTTTCCTTTGGAAAACTCGAAAATGAACAGTTTTGAGTGGCGTCCCTACACAAGAACTGTGACAAACTGGAAGTTTCCTAAGTTTTACCCCGAGAAAGTGATGTGTGTTACTGTTTTTCCGAGTCTTGATGAAGAATTTATCTCCTTTGCTCGATGCATCAAAGTTTCTGAGCTTGTTGGCATTAAGAAAGTGGAGCGTTACTTCCCAAATAGAGTGGCTACACAGTTTGGAATGCTTCAGGATATTCCTTCTTCTGTTGACAAGAACAACCTCTCACGGGAGGCAGCTTGGAATGATTACAATAAGCCTATTAATGATTTGGCATTAAACATTCCTTCCCGTTCTACAATATCTCGTGTTAGTACTCCGACGTTTTTCGAGTGATGAGTGTTCTCCTTATTATTTCTTTTCATGGCTATTAGTTTTTTTTTTTTGTTAAAGAAAATGAAGCGAAAATTGATCGAAAGGATTGCTAGTGATGTTTCAGAAAAACTCAATGTTACACCGTCTAGGGATTTTGATGGCATGGTTTGGCTAGAAAGCAATTTTGAGTGAAATGGAGTCTTTGCTAGATTTAGAGAATGATGGAGTTAAGATGGTTGGAATCTCTGGTCCTACAGGCATTGATAAAAGTACAATTGCCAAAGCTTTACATAGTCGACTTTTAAATAGGTTTCCGCATACTTGTTTGATGAACAACCTTAGGGGAAGCTATCATACGGGATTTGATGAGTATGGTGTGAAGTTGCGCTGTCAAGAGCAGCTTCTTTCAAAGGTTCTGAACCTAAATGGCATTAGGATATTCCATTTAGGTACGATACAAGACAGACTACATGATCAGAAGGTTCTTACCATTCTTGACGATGTGGAGCTTCTAAAACATGAGGCTTCAGTTGATATTAGGTGGTTTGGTGCTGGAAGTAGGGTCATAGTGACCACTGAAAACAAAGAGATTTTGTAGCAACATGGTATAAATGATATCTACCTTGTGGGTTTTCCTTCAAGAAGAGAATCTCTAATGATCTTATGTTTATCTGCTAAACAAACATGTCCATCTGACAGGTTTATGGATCTTGCGGATGAAGTTGCAAGGATTTGTGGCAATCTTCTGTTGGGTCTTCATGTCTTAGGGTCGTCGTTGCGAGGAAAGAGCCAGGCTGACTGGAAAGATGAACTACCGCGGTTAAAATATTGTATTGATGGAAGAATCGAGAGTGCGTTGAAAGTGGGCTATGAAAGTTTACATGAGAAAGACCAAGCTCTGTTTCTCCACATTGCAGCCTTCTTCAATTATGGACATTTTGATCTTATGACAGCCATGCTAGCAAAAATTAACTTGGATGTTAGACTTGGGCTGAAAATCTTAGCCATTAAACATCTCATACATATAAATTACGATAGAGTGGTAATGCACCGTTTGCTACAAGTAATGGCTCCAAAAGTCATTTCCAAACAAGAGCCTTGGAAACGCTAAATTGTAAGTTTTCTGTTTGGGGGATTTGCATACCATGTTTATTTGTTGATGTTTAAGCATATCATCTAACCACTAACACCTTTAATTTGGAATAATTAGTAATGGATCAACCAAAGGTATATCATTTGACATAGCAGACATCGACGAATTGATGATAAGCCAAAGGGCTTTTGAAAGAATGTGCAATCTTTTATTTCTGAAAGTCTACCATAGGTTCGAATTCAGCAGTGTTTCCAAGATTTCTTGAAGGAAGAAACAGACGGAAACAACAATGTGGGATCTGAAGATGAAGATAACAACAATAATCTATGGGATACACATGAAACCGATGAATCGTCAGACAAAGAACAAGACGACGATGATAGTATGGCTAGCAGGAGATCTAAATCTGAATCGTGCAAAGCATCCGACAAAGAAGACGATGAAGCGTCCAAAGAAAAAGATGAGGATACCATCGATGACGGTGAATCCGTATCAAGGAAGCGCCTGAGGAAGACGACTACAATTCTGAAGAGGGAAATTCAAAAACGACGTTTAAAGAGAAAAATGAGTTATAATCTGTCTTCAAGAAGTTTCCGTGCGCATTGCATTATTGGAGCTTCCGAGCAGAAGAAAGCCAACTCCATCGAAAGTCGAAACATGCTTAGGATTCAGCAGTTGATGAGTTTGTGATATCCTCCATGCATTAGATATTTTGTAGAGACAAGTGAAGAAGAAGACTAAGAGTCGCCTCTAAATGTTGGCGCGAGTCTTTATCGAAGTTTAGCATATCTAGAAGATCAGAAAATTATTTATGGTTATTGATCCACACGACATTTAGTAGCCGTATGAGAGTAGACTGATCAGTTGGTGTAACATTGATGCCACAAGATATAGAGACTGTTTACTTGTTTTCTTGATTATCAATTTTTCTTTCTCAAGATTAACTTTGTTTGGTATAGGAGAAAAGCTGAAAAAGCTAGAGAAAGAGAATTGGCATCAATATTATTGTATGCACTTTGTTATACGTCACAGGTACAAACTTTTATCTTTGAAGTACATTGGTCTTTCTCAAAGAAACCGATACTTTAATTTTCTTATCTTTTTTACGTGGTGAAGTAAAAGAAACAGACAGTGTTTAAAGAATTAGAGAATTTACGGTGAAGAGAAACAGAATTCAATGATTTTGAACCCCGCCAATAGGAAAAAAAAAAAAACCATGAGAAACGTTTTGTCTTTATTCCTAAAAATTACACTTGATATAAATCACTTGAAATTAAAATATTCATCTTCTTTTCTAAAAAGTAATCTTATACAATATAATCAATTCTAAATTCATAATAAATTTTTTGATTGGTAAGAAAATCTTATGTTAATTAGGATATTCGTATTGAACATACCCATACATAAAAGTTAATAATGAAACGTGTTGAAGATTGATGAATGTATCTATGTATAAATATCATATTATTATGATGAGAGACTTTGAACATATATCTGAATATTCGATTTATACCAACAAAGTTTAGAGTTTATGTGATTACAAGTAATAATGCTATTACAAACTTCAAACCTCTTCTTGAATTTGATTTAAAACCCATAAAACACAAAATTAAATCCAATTTCGATTTGAAACCTTGATAACTAAATTACATAAACTTTTCTTAAAATGTGACCCAAGTAATGCTATCTCAGTAGATGAAACCTAATTTCAATCCTCTGTTCCAATAATCATCGATCGTAGAGCACAGTCCGACACATTGGGCAAGTGTTTTTGCGGTATAGCTACTCAACGAGACATCCATTATGGAAGACATGTGAAACTCATGCGAGTGGGTACTGTTTTCGAACTGGAGACTAGACTCTGGAGACGAATTGAACAGGACTCTGTTTCCATCTTCAAACTCTTCAATTTTTCTGCTTTCATGCTCCCTTGTAGAACCATCCTTGATAACTTTAATGATCTCTCGTCGACATGGAAGTACCGATAACTAACTATAACACTCACGGTCAAATGAACGCCATTGTACCCAAAACCTGAGTTGATTGCAGGCGCCGTTGAGATCTTTGGGACTAAGTATTCGCACAACCAGTGGTCATCGCTATTGAGTCGATCCTGGAGTAACAATTGGATGTGGTGGTGACTACAGCTAGGGAGACTGGAATTGATGGGAAGTGATTTATAGGAAAGCGGAATTGACGTTACGGTTCGGTGGCCGGTGGCAGGGTTTACAAGGATCTCATCCTATATGGTATTGATGATGAGGAGGATTGAGTTTTTATATCCTTCTGATGGAGAGAGACTTCTCTCTTGAACCTGAACTCCCACTGCGAGTTTGGGAATGGGATCATTCATGTTTGACAAAGGTTTCTCAAAGATCTTCTTAAGAGATTCACAAGAAGTCGTAAATTGAGAGAGAATAAAATCGAGAAGATTTACGGTAACGTAGTAAGAGATATATAAGCGTGTTCAACTATATCTTAGGTTCTATAGGGTCTAAATGGTAATCGAGGAATCTGGCTGAATTCGGCTAAATTGCTAAATTGCAGAATCTCGCTGAATATTTAGTGATTTTGAGCTGAATCTGACTGAATTTTAACATTTCTAAATGGTCACTGCAGAATTATTGAATCTAGTTGAATCCAGCTGAATATTTTTTTGACGTTACCATTTAGACTCATAGTTTCCTATTTTTTTTCTTTGTCACCAAAAAGTTTCCTATTATTTGTCGCTAAGACTGTATCTCACCATAGTTTTAATTATATTTATTTTAATTTAAGTTGAAAAACCATAGTTTTGATGGCACAACATCACTCGTTTCCCTGATTTTGTGGCTCTCCATCTCCGTCTCGTGTCCGACGTCGACACACTCATCTCCGATACAAGCTTTGTCTCCATCTCCGATCAATTACGCTCATCATCTTCTCCTTCACCTTTGTCTCATCACTTTGATTCTCAGGTGAGAATTCTATTTCTCTGTTTCTGTTTTGTTATTGTTATATTACATGAATTTCACAATTTGGTATATGTATTCGTCATTCATATATATAAATATACTCATCCTCTTTGTTTCTGTAATTATTTTTCAAGTTCTAACTTTTGTTGCTCTGTTGTTTCTACAGACCAAGACGACCCGACACTTCTCTTGAATTACTTCTTTCATTGGCGTTTCAAGGTACTTCTCTTGAATTTTTGTTTTTTTCTTTGCTGCAAATCATCATGGTATTGAACAACTTTGATGTTGTCTGGAGATTTTAAATTGCTATGTGCCTTTGTCCTTTGTTTATGTTCTCAGTTTTATGTTCCATATTTAATAATTTTATATACAGATGTATACCTTACACTCCGACGAAACACAAAATGGAGAGGAGAACCAAACGAATGTTCATTTTGAGGAGCATCTTGACAATGCTTCAGCTCCTATGCATACACAAGGACGTGAGCAAGGAAAATGGGTGGTTAATGTGATAAGTACGTGGAAAAACGTTATTACTAATGATAATTGTAGAAAATAGTTTGAAGCGGTGTATTTTTCTTGCAGGTTCAGATGGAACTCTAACTCAAGAACGTCTTACTGCACAAGATATTTGGGGAATGGAGAATCGTAGAGCCGTTCTTGAGTTTGGTCCCTATAACCAACCTGAAGATGGAAGTGGAGGTATATTTGGTACATGGCTTGGTATGTTTAGTAATGATGTGAACAAATTTCCTATAAATTATGTGGACTGGAGGAAGGTACCAATATGGCGAAAAGATGAGGCTTGGGAGTACATTCAGGTATAATGTTGGTATGATTTTCTTTAATATATAACCATCGACATGACTTTTCACTATCTCTATTCATATGTGTATATGCCGTCCAAGTTTTATTTTGATGCTTCAAATGAGAAAATTAAGAAGTTTGTGATGAAAAGCTTAAGCCAAAAGTGCAAAGGTGTTAAAACTCGTTTGTGGAATACTTATCGACGTAGCACTCGAGAGGAAGCTATAGAGGTTCGACCAGAATTTATTCCAAAAGAGCAATGGCAAGATTTTGTGCATTTGCAGTTTCGTGAAAAAGGTAAGGTAATATATCTAGCATCTTATTGTATTGTAAGCTAAGATAATGTTCTGAGTTTGCTAAGATGGTTACATATATGAGTTTTAGACATTGAGAGAGCAAAATGTGAAGAGTAGGAGCCATTACAAGACACCACATACTTTAGGGAAGAAAAGTATCTCTCGGAAGTCTAAAGAAATCGTAAGTGCTCTTTATACTTTATTAAATACTTAGGCTTTTTGTCTGATTTCTCTTGTATAAATGTCCAGTTTCTCAAGACGGTTAAACGTCCCAGTCGTGGAGAGATTTTTCTGTGTACACGTCAAAAAGCTAATGGGAGTTTTGTAAATGCAGAAGCTCGAGAACTATCGGTCAGAATTTTTGCTCTCTCAATTAATTTGACTTTCAGACTTAATCAATATCTTATTTTGGTTTCTTCTTTTACTTCTCGGGATTCTTTTTTTTAATTCTCAGTTGAATTGTTCACTAGCTAGTATATAAGTTTAGACTACTGTTTTTTTGTAAGTTAACTAGTATTTAAGCTTTGTTACCAACGTACACACTTGACGACGATAGAATTATGATTTTTTAGTAATTTGTTTTAACTTTCAGGAGAAACTAGCTGAAAAGATTACTCAAAACGCTGGAAACACTTCTGGGAGTAACAATACGCCAAATTCAAATGATGATTTCGCTCAAGTATTTGGGAGAGAACGGCCTGGTCGTGTTCGTTGTGTTGGACTTGGTCCCACTCCTTCGTCGTTTTTTCAGAATCGCACCACGACACAATCCAGTGAGGAACAGGAAGTGATTGGCTTGAGGAATCGAGTTCGTGAGTTAGAAGATAAATTGGTGAAGATGAGTGATTTGGAAGACAAAGTGGATAAGATGAATGAAGTTATATATCAACTTGCCAGCAACAACAATTGCACTACTTGTAGAAGGTAATTAACTATCTTTACATATCTGATATCTCTATTTTGCGTGCTTTGTAATATTTCTTATGTCTGCGTTTATGTTATTTCAGGGATAGTGGTTAGAAAGGGATGGCTTCAAGTAGAAGGGGATGGCTTCAAGTAGTTTATGACTTTAGTTTATGTTGTTTTGCTTATGAAAATTCAGTCATTCTTTATTTCATGACTTCAAGTAGTTAGTTTTCTGTTTTTCGTGAATCAGTTCAATTTCAAAAAACAGTGGATTATCAGTTATGGATAATGCAATACAGTTTTTTAGTTTGATCGATTATGATTTAATTTAGAACATTATTTTATAAAATATTATAATTATCCACTACAATAAATTATCTAAAATTAATTTGAAAATAAGATATATAATTTAGTGTCATTTTGAAAAACTTAAATAAAGTGATGTTAATATTTGGAATCGATTTGAAAGCGATGCAAATATTAAAGTTAACGTTATTTATAAAAATCGACCTTAATATTCTGTTTAACGTCGTTTTCATGATCTGATACTACTTATATGTTTGACATCATTTACGAAGCGATGCTAGAATCAATAATAGAAACGTTTACTATAAATGACACTAACCAATAATAAACGATGCTAAAATTTAGTTATTACGTCATTTAATAAAGCGATGCTAAATATATTTAGCTTCACTGAATTTGGCATCACTTTTTAAAATGACCCTATAATGCTAGTATCACTTTTAAAACGATGCTAAATTAAAAATAAAATGATGCTACACATACATTTTTTTGTAGTGTGCCTCCACCGGTGAGATGCCTATTGGGTATCTCATAAATATATTAATAATATTTTTTCTATTTTTTTTAGCAAGGAAATAAAGATCAATAGAATATTTTTATATTACTTAATTTAAAATTTTTATGTTAAATTTTCATTGATATTTAAAAAAAAAAAAATCAAATTACATGTTAAATATATTCAATTGTATTCAATATTAGTAATCTTAATATTAATAACAAAAACTAACAATGCAATCCATTGTAAATAACACGATCACAGAGTTATACTTTCTTAAATAACACAATTAAGCAAAGGAACATAGAGTAAACTTAAGAAAAATAGGGAAAAAAGCTTAACTAGACAAGATTTTACCAAAATGTTGACAAAAATCATCAAAATATATTTTTTAATTTTTAAAATACCAATATTTGTTTTTAAAATATTATACTATTTTATGAACTAAAACAATATTAATTTAATAAATTATTATTAATATATAATGTAAACTTATACATAATGGAGCTTGATATATAGGTTATTTTATTTTATGATTTATAAAAAATAAACAAAATATACACTACTTTAATTAATATTCTAAACTATGGGATAATTGATTTATCCAAAAAAGGTTGAAGCAACTATATAATGACAAGTGTTCATGTTTCGATGAGAGAAAGGGTTTCTCATTATTATACATTTTAAAAACAAATGGGTTTCTCATTTGAGAATCGGTTTTAAGACATAATGAAATAGTGCTGATAAATGTATTGATGTATAAATATCATATTATTATGATGAGTGACCTTGAACATAAATCTAAGTAATCAAGTTTGAATAAATCTTTAGGCAACAATTTCGAGATACTATACTTGTTGTACATAAGAAGAAGTCCTCTCTAGGGTAACTTATGTTTCTTACCCCTGTTTTTCTTCTGTTTTCTCCCTGTTTTCGTCTGATTTTTCCCTTCAGTAGTAGTATTCTGCTCTTGATATATCTTGAGAGGCGAAAAAAGACAAAGAATTCATATTGATGTTAGTCTCCAGATAAAAACACAAAGAGAGGAGATGGAATATTTTTGGTGGATTCAAATTTTTACTTTAATATTCCCAGTGGGGACTCGAGAGCATGATCATCTACTAGCCATAGATTACAGTCTTGAAAGCGTTTCAAGAAAACGGGCAGTGGCCTAATGCCTAGAACGCTTAATCGGGGTCTAGGCGATTTTTAGGCGGTTTAGACGTTTATAACGTAAAACATTATAAATATAATATTATATATAAAAGTTATATAAATATTTATATAAAACTAAAAAATATGAAATTATAAATAAAAACTAGATAAAACATTTATTTATATTTATATTAAACATTATATGGATATTTATAACTATATATATAAAAATAAAACTTAATTGAAATTGAAAAATACATTAAACAAGATCTATGTAATTTTAGGCGGTCATAGCGGTTATTTAGGCGTCACATGAGAGCCTAGCACCTAGTCGGGGCCTAGGCGACCACCTAGACCGCTTTTTAGGACACTATTCATAACACGTTCCATCAAGATGATTACTTTTATCATTCGATCCTGAACCAAATCACATTTTAAAACCAACCATAAATCTTACGAAATCCAGCCGGTTTGAGTAAACTAGATTCTGATACCATGTTAAATTTCATGAACTTCTAATTCAAGAGCAATTGGTAATAAATATATTGGTTCATGTATCTTATTTATTATTTTGGGTCCTTTCTAGTTTTTGATGTGGAATCAGAACACACTCTGTTGGAGATTGTAAATCTTAATTATCATTGGTAAAAGTACCATTTCCAGAGCTTTACATAGTCGACTCACTAACAGGTCTCAGCTTACTTATTTTATGGACAATCTTAGGGAAAGCCATAAGATTGGTCTTAATGAGTATAGTTCGAAGTTGCGCTTACAAAAGCAATTTCTTGCACATATTTTAAACAAGGATGGTAATAGGGTTATGGAATTCAAGTGTGATGAAACAAAGGCTAGACGACCAGAGGGTTCTTATTATTCTTGATGATGAGGAGAGTCTATTTCCACTAGAGGCTTTGGTCGATATTACGTGGTTTGGTCCTGGAAGTAGGGTCATAGTTACAATTGAAAAACAAAAGATTTTGGAGCAACATGGTATCAATGATATATACCAAGTGGGGTTTCCATCAGAAAGAGAAGCTCTAAAGATCTTTTGTCTATCTGCTTTTAGGCAAACCTTTCCACCTAATGTGTTTATAGCTCTTGCGGATGAAGTTGCAAGTAATTGTGGCAATCTTCCGTTGGGTCTACATGTTTTAGGGACGTCATTGCGAGGAAAGAGCCAGGCTGATTGGATAGATAAACTACCAAGGTTAGAAAACTGTCTTGATGCAAGAACTGAGAGTGTAGTGAAAGTGGGTTATGAGAGTTTACATGAGAATACCAAACTCTATTTCTCTTCATTGCAGTCTTCTTCAATTATAAACATGTTGATCATGTGACATCCATGCTTGCAATGACCTCTGGGATACACATGAATTCGACGAATCATTAGACAAAGAAGAAGAAAATGGTGATAGTATGGCTAGTGGGATAGCTAAATCTGAATCCTGCAGAAGATGATGAAGAGGGCCAGAGGGGTATGAATCTAAATCTTCAGAAGCGTCAAGCGACAAAGATGAGGATATCATCGGTGAACACGAATCCGTATCAAGGAAGTGTCTGAGGAAGACGACGGCTACAAATCTGAAGAGAGAAACCCAAAAACGACTGTATAAAAAGAAAAAAAGTCCTCTCTGTGTTCAAGAAGTTTCCGCATTGTATTATTGGAGCTTCGGAGCAGAAGAAAGCCAACTCCATTGAGATATACTTAGGATTCAACACTGATGAGTTTGTGCTGATTTTATCATGTGATATCCTCCATGCATTATCGGAGCTTCGGAGCAGAAGAAAGCCAACTCCATTGAGACATGCTTAAATTTCAGCAGTGATGAGTTTGTGATGCTATAATCATTTGATATCTTCCATGCATTGGATATTCTGTAGAGACAAGTGAGTAAGTCTGAGAGTGGCCTCTAAAGGTTGGCTATTGTATTAAGCCTTGCGGTACGTGATCTGCATCCATCTTGTTTCCTCCTGTATGAATTAGCAAATTGTAGTTGTGACATTCTTTACCTGAGCTCTTAAACCTGCAGTTATCATAACTTTTGTAGCCTAACAAGTTCATCAGTTTTTACTTTTTAGTATATTCATAACACCAGGATCCGTAATGATAGAAAACGTCGTTCTCAGACATTAATTTTGGTTTATTTCTCTAAGCAGGGAAAACTATAGTATGTGAAGCATTTGCTGTGTGATAGTATGGGGTATAACTCATTCAGATATTTTACAACTACAATCTGTTAGCAAGCTATATATATGTTAAACTTCATATAGTTAAACTTTGATTGATAACTTTATTTGTCAATTCGAAAACAGGATCTTGGATAAATTTATTTCAAGTTTAGAAATGAAGTTAGTAGCTGCTAGAGCCGAGCGCGAGTATTTGTCAAAGTTTAGCTGAAGAACAGAAAATTATTTATGGATGGTTATTGGTAGTCGTACGAGACGAGACTGATCAGTTGGTCTAACATGGATGCCACAAGGTATAAAGACTGCTTACTTGTTTTCTTGATTATCAATTGTTCTTTCTCAAGTTTGAACTTTGTTTGGTTTAGGAGAAAAGCTGAAAAAGCTAGAGAAAGAGATTTGGCATCGATATCGTTGTACGCTTTGTTATACGTCACAAGTAAAAAATTTTATATTTAGAGAACTTGGGTCTTTCTAAAAGAAACCGATATTGCTTTAAATCTTTATAAGTACCTCATTTGGTCAGATTCTTCACAATCTGTTGAAGCTGAGAAAACATTCATAGAGATTTCATGAGACTGTTGGATTTCTCGACTACTTGCTATTTCTTATCCTGAAACCTTCTTTTCAAAGAAGCTTTGGAGTGGTGTTTCCAACGAGTAGTTTCTCTTCTTCCGGCAGAGATGTGAGCTTTGGAGTGGTGTTTTGGTGCCTGCGATGGAGATCCTCTGCTGTGCATACGGTGGCTGCCGACGCTCTTTAGATGCAAACGGTCGTTGAAGCCTCGCTTCTCACTATTAGATAGGCTTTCCGGGTATCACTTCATAGCTCATTTGGACTACCTCCGTGAATGATTAAGCTTGGCGTTTTTTTTTGGATGGTTGCTTCTCTATTGTCTCATCTTTGCCTGAAAACAGCAGCTGGTGGGTTGGGAAGTGGTTGTTGTGGCGTGTCAAGCATGGCAAAACGTTTTGGTTTTTTCTATTGTTCTTCTCAGAGGCTACTTTCATAGGTTTATGATCTTTCATTGTTGTATTCCTATACTATTTTCATTTTAATGAAATATTTACCTTCTTAGCAAAAAAAAAAAAAGAAAAAAAAAAAAAAGTAGTTTTTGTTTCTTTGATTTGTTTTGCTCTTTGAAACAAGAACACATCAAGAGTTCATAAAACTATCGACCAAGACACAGAGACATCTTTCACCACGGCTGTTTATTTTAGGACGTGGAGTCCACATAAAGTTGACGATGATGTTCAGATTTGTCTTGGTAAAACTGAATCATCATAACAATAATGTCATCGTTTTGAAGCTAAGTAATCTTTGTTAGCCAGTATTTCATTATATATCTACGCCGCAACACTCGGGATGATTTTAGAAGAAAACCTCAAGTTTATGCAGGATGTATGAAATTCAGACCTATTTTAGCCATAAAGTAAGTAAAAAGAGGTTACATACCCAATCCCTGATGCTTCTATCCTATTAGAATTTAGATGCAATTTTCTTATGTCTAATTAACGCCAACTCTTTTTTTGTTTTGTTTATAAGGTTGACACAACACCTCTTGTTAAACACGAAAGGTTATCTTTTAATTTCCTATTATGTCGCCAGTCCAGTAGTAATAAAATCAGTGTTCTAAAAAGCGGTCTAGGCGGTCGCCTAGGCCCCGACTAGGCGCTAGGCTCTTATGCGACGCCTAGATAACCGCCTTGACCGCCTAAAATTACACAGATCTTGTTTAATGTATTTTTTCAATTTTAATTAGAGTTTTATTTATATATATAGTTATAAATATTCATATATTGTTTAATATAAATATAAATAAATGTTTTATCTAATTTTTGTTTATAATTTCATAATTTTTAGTTTTATATAGATATTTTATATAACTTTTATATATAATATTATATTTATAATATTTTATGTTATAAATGTCTAAACCGCCTAAAAAATCGCCTAGGTTCCGATTAGCGCCTAGTGCTTTCTTGAACACTGAATAAAATAAAGACTATATCAATTATCAATTAAGATAGAATGTCACTGTTATCGTACCAGACAACTTTTAGATGGTGTGTCATTATCACCGTACTATGGTTAATTTCCGTTTATGTTACAGAGGTTAACTCGTGGAATTATGATGAGATACAAATTGAGGAAGAAGATTACGTGGCCAAGAGTTTTCGTTATTTTAATTATTGTAGTTAGTGGCAATGTGTTTACTTACCCACGTTTCACGTGCCTTAGTTGTTACTTTATTTTCTTGTGTATTTAAGCATGTTTATTGCACAATCTAAGGGAAGAGAAAAATTATAGTAACTTGTTCTAAAGTCTTTGAGAACCAAAGTGTTTGTTAATCAAGAAGACATTTAACACTAACTAAGTCATAGTTAAGGGTTAAATGTAGGTTACTCGGGTTACAGGTTACTTGGGTTACTCGGGTTACAGGTTACTTGGGTTACTCGGGTTACAAGGCTGAATGAGGGTGTTTTTGGTCTTTGTGCACAACCCATCTCAGACCTAGATTATGTTTTCTATATAAACGTGTATGCCTCCTCATTGTGTTTTAACACATCCACTATAAGAAAACATAGCCTTTTCCTACCAAATTCCTTACCAAATATTTGGTAGGAATAATTTCCTACCAAATTCCTACGTATTTGTTATGAAATATATATTTCGTAGGAAATTCGAATGAAATTTCTTACGACAAAAGTCGTAAGAAGTTCGTAGGAAATTTCCTACGAAAATCCTACGAAAAAAAAATGTCGAAGAAAATTTTGTAAGAAAATGGAAGGAAAGGCATAGGAAAAAATTGGTAGGAAATACGAAGGTATATTTCTTTCCAATTTCCTACGAACAGATCTTCGTAGGAAATCGCGTAGGAAATGCGAAGGAAAATTATGGGGAAATAATTGTATAGTTTTGAATAATTCAAATTTTCATAGCTTAAGTTATTCATTATAAAAAAACAAAAAAACAATTCATCCGTGTTTTTTATTTTTGTCCCATGTCTCTCTCTTTCTCTTGCTCGTGTATCGCATAAGGCGAAATCAGAGAACTCTCGCTCGATCCGTTTGATTTAAGAGGAGAAATGCGAAATCGTCTAACCTAATCTCTTTTCAGACTCACAAATTGTTCTAGAGATGCTTATGAATCAATGAATATATCTAACCTACTGTTTTATTTTGTAGTTGCGCCTCAAACGGCCAAGGCTCAGAGGCTCCAGCGCCTAGGCTCAAGGCTCAAACTAAGCCCCCCAGCGCCTTGCCTCGCCTTGCGCTATTTAAAACACAGGTTGTTGCTGTTGTTGTTGATTTGCTTTTGTTGAGTTAGAGATTCAACTAAACCTCTGTTTTCTTATTTGAATTAGCTAATGATTTGCTACTTATTAATTATTCTCTTTATATGGTAGAACTTAAGAACCAACTTCTGCTTCTACGAATGCATACAAAGATGGATTTTGTTTGATAAGTCTTATACTATAATGTGATAACAGAACCGATACAAGAAGAGTCAATAAACTATTTGTTTCAAAGAATGTCTCATGCACCTTGTTGATCGTGTAGTAACCACATTTTCTTTTCAAGCCACTTTCAAACATAATCTAATGTTGTCATTTCATGTATCTTCAATCTAGTGTTGTCATTTGAAATGACACTAACTGTTCTCTCTCAATGGACACTACTTCACATGGACACTAACTGTTCTCTCTCAATGTGGTGGACCAGTTTATGATGGCAAATGGAAAGCTTGTTCGTGTCCTTATTCATACAGATGTGACTAAGTACTTGTCTTTTAAAGCTGTTGATGGAAGCTGTGTTTTTGTCAAAGGCAAGGTACAGTGAGAACTCATTTTCATTTTATCTTGTCACTCATTCTCTTATGTTTTTTTCATAGATTTTAAGTCTGTTTGTGCATCCGACAATCCAGAATGAGACGACCGACAATCCAGAATGAGACGACGAAGACGACGAACACGAGCGTAGACGACGACGAGACTCAAGAGTAGATCGATTAGTGTTTAATCTTTATATTAGAATGTATTGTACAATGAATTTTAATTTGTACGGAGTTTAATTTTAAATTTAATTTTAAGTTTCTTTTGAATTTTAAATTTAATTTATTCAAAAAAACCAAAATTTGTAACAAATAAATATAAATAATTTTATTAAAATTGTCTCTTAAATTTCGAAGGATAATGGTAGGAATTTGGTAGGAGGCGTATCGTAGGAAACTGGTAAGATAATTTTGGTACGTAATTAGTGAGAAATATTTCGTAGGAAAGTTGAAGGAAACAATTTCCTACGAAAATTTGGTAGGATAATGGTGAAAAAGGTCCTACCAATTTCCTACGAAATTTCCTACGCGATTTCCTACGAACAGGTTTCGTAGGAAATTTCCATCGAATTTCCTACCAAATTCTATTTCCTACGGGTTATTCCCTACAAATATTTTTCGTAGGAAATTGGTAGGAAACGTCTATTTCCTACCAATCTCCTACGATTTTGGCCGTAGGAAAACGCTGTATTTCTTGTAGTGATCTTTCATCAATACATTTCTGCTTCTCTCCAATCTTAAATCATGGTTTCATCAATCTTTCCTACTTAAATATTAACATGCACTACAGGAAATGTGGGTATTAATAGCGGCCGATAAACGCTATTATTCATCTACCATAACGTTTCCTTAAGCGCTCTGACATCGCCCGTTATAGAAAGTCGGACACTTTAGATAGCGGACTTTGCGAATGCTATAGTTAATTAAACTATGATAGCGTTTATGACGTTGCTATTATTAATATTTATAATAAGGTGTAATAATCGTTATGATTTTGTTTCGCCCTGGGCGTTCGGTTATCTCGGGTTAATCGGATCGGTTTATTCGGTTTATTGGTTTATTCTGTTTTACAAAATTCTGCCGAATTGTTCGGTTCGGGTCGGTTCGGTACTCACTTTTTTCGGTTCGGTTATAGGTTTTAAAATCAATTCCGAAATAAACCAAATTTTTTTTTATCTCGGTTATTTCGAACCGAATTAGACCAAAAATAAAAAATGGATTACAAATATATAATACAAAACCCATTAATAAGCCTAACTAACAATTTTACAAACAAAAAGCCCAGAGCCCATTAACAAATTAGGGTTTTCAGTTTACACAAGTGGTTACGGTGACAAAATAACGGCACGGCGACGGTCGTTCGATCTTCCCGTCGGATGAAGCTTCCTACTCGCCGCCACAATGAGATCTGCTCACGTTCGATGAAGCTTGTTACTTGCCAGCTACAAAGAGAACAGTCCTCAACCGGATCTGTCGCCTACCATCTTCATCTTCAACTAAAATAAGAAAAGCAAAATAAAAGAATTATAAATCGATTCTCTTAGATTATCAAACCAAAAAACAATTGTTAGATTCAGTTGAACAAATAAACAATTTTCTTTCAATTTTTGTTTATAAGAACCCATGGAAATTATAAGTACCTTCGACAGACCATTCTTCTTCTTCGTCTTCTTCTTTGGTTCTCTCAGATTCGAGTCGGAGATGGCAATGAATTTCGTTAATCCTGCCAAAGGCAAATCTAAGACACCGGATTTAACCCTAAAAGCCTAACCGACGCAACCGGAGAATTGTTCTCGTTGTCACCACCCTCAGATGCGAGATCTGCCGCTAGATATCCATCACGGAGATGACCGGACATGTAAAACCCAAATACACAATTGAAATCCGCCTTGAGCCACCGTACTCTAACAGCTCGGAATCAATAAAAGTAGCAACCGTGATCCACATGTGAAGAAACTGTAAGCAAACGTTTGGTTTTCTCATAAGAATGTAAGAGTTGAAGACTTGAAGGATACGAAGAAAAGAAGAAAAAGGAGAAGTTTTAACCAAAAAGAAAAAAAGCCTTTGTTGGGCGATAAACGGATGAGATTTTCTTAAACATGCAGCCGCCAAAGCCTTTGAAAGGCTGAGATCTCGCCACATCAGCAGTCCGAATGAAACATTATGATTGGCTTATTTTGTTTATAGGCATAAAAATGTGTTTTTACTATTTATATAATTTTTAAAAAATTATATATTGACTAATTAATATGTTTATGAGTTATTTACATGATTATATAATTTTTTTCGCAATTTAAAAAAAATATTTTGCAACGTTTTTAGAAATTTGAAGGTAACACATATGATTGCCTTAGAATACATGTACACTAATCTTCTTATTGTGTAAATCATATTGTTGAAACACATTAGTGATGTTATAATTAATAAAATGATAGAATTCATTTATGTTATAATAGTATACTTTATATCATTAATATTAGCTACTATTTAAAACACTAAACCCTAAACCCTAAACCCTAAACCCTAAACCCTAAACTATTTTAAAAAATGAAATTTATTTATGTTATTATTTGTTATAATTAATATTATTACTATTTCAAACAAATATAATCAAAAAACCTAAAACATACATTTCATACCCTAAACCCTATACCCTAAACCCTAAACTCTATTCCCTAAACTCTTTAAAATTATAACTTTGTTATTATTTTTGTAATTATTAATATTATAATTAAATATTTATGTCTTTTTGAGATATTTGGTTATATTTATTTATATTTCTTTTTTTTTTTTTAACTTGAAATCTAAAGTACATTCCTTAAAATAATTAATTCAATTTTTCCAATTAAAATGTTTTAAGTATGTGTTTTTGTGTTTAATATATTTTTGCCAAGGAGTTCAGAAACTAACTGCTACAGAAAATACAACAAATATAGAATTTGTATTCACATGTCCCCTTCAGCTCTTTCTCTTTGGCTGCATTGTTGTTTCTACGCTAATATATCAAAAAAGAGATTCAAAAATACAACTTTAAGCATATATAGAGAGAGAGTGAGAGAAACGGTTCCGATCCGGATCAAATTGATATTAAAAAAGCCTAAAATTGAGGTTTTTCAGATATTCAAAGATACAAACCAAGATCCTAGACAAGCCTTATAATCTATGATGCACGATATATAGCCACCAACTCAGTCACCAGCTGCTTTTCATCGTGATTCTTCACATATCTCTTTAAGAATACCCGATTGTTACATACTAAGACATATGATATCGAAGTGAGTTCTGCAGGATTACCCTGAAATGAACAACTAAAAGCAAATCACTGTTTCTTGTTTCCATGTAAAAATCAAAATGAAAGTAAGAGAATAGGGGAGTAACATACAGGATGACACATACTTCATCTTCCTTTAGCTCTCCGGTGGGATCTACTGTGCCCATGAGATAGTATGATTCGGTCACAGGAAGACTTCCTGCTTTGAGATCATTCTTCTCTGTATTTACGAGAATAGACAGATGATTCTTCAAGTGTGGTTCGTCAAGGGGGATACCAACCAAGATCATGTTTACAGCGTTCATGTCATCCATTTCCCCATAATTGATGGCAGCTGCACATGCAAATTTACTTCTTAAATGATCTATCAAGAGTCACATCTTAAATTACATAACTCAGTAGTAAATTATCTTTCTTACAAGGAACCAAAAAGCTTGGAGTTTTAAGACAATTTACTACGACTTTATCACTATTCTGATAATAAGTTCAAAGGATCACACACTCAAATAAATATGACATTCACTCACATGCATCAACACACTAGAAAGAAAGTAAAGAAACAAAGAGTAATAGTCACACTTCACTAAACTCTCTCTAGTTTATAGCCTGATCTACAAACACAATTATCAAATCCATAATTTAACACTACGATTTGAAACAAACGAATCAAAATTTAAAAAGTGTAATCAACTGATCATCAATATACCCTCAGCAACAATATCAGTTCCATTCCAAGCAAAGATGTTGTAAATCGGTTGTTCATCAGAGTCCTAAAGAGTTATGCACCTATTAGTAATATAATTGATATTGATAGTTTAAACAATGGCAATATTAATAATTTAGATATATACCATGTTATGCTCAGTTGGAGAGTTGTTGTCTGATTCCCCGACAACAACTTCATCTTTTGAAAACCAATCCAATATCTTACACTTAATTCCTCCTTTGTTTGTGTTTGATACATTAGATTGAGCATCCAAATCAGCACCAGATAGCTACCAAGAGGAAAAATAATTGGTTACAAACTATTATGACCATTGTGATAAACAAATGTGAAACTTACTTTTTTTCCAGCTAAACAATGAAGTTGACTCTGCAAATCTTCAATCTTGGTAGCCATTTCTGCTTGTGTAGCCAGAAGCTTCTGAACATGTGAGTCTCTAGCGTTAAGAATATCCAGCTTGTTTAGACTAATCCCAAAGCTTTCGATGAAGGATAACCCAAAGCTTTCGATGAAGCATTCACAAATTGATTTGCACCTTCAACATACTCAATGCTATTCCTGTAAAGAAAACCATGAAGTCCAAATATCAATGTAACTCAATAACACATTTTAAAATTAAAAGTATAAGAATATGATAGAGTTTCATACCTAGGTAACCAAACCCATGACTTCTCCATATTACCAAACACAACACAGCTCCTCGACCAGTTATATACAATAAAAATTCAATTGATCAGACATTCAAGTTACTAACATATTCAATCTCCTTAACAAACATGGCCGAACAAAAATTGAACAACAAGGAGAGAAAGGATTCACAATCTTACGATTAAGCTCAAGTCTTCTTGGACAAAGGATTTGTAGAATCTGCAAATAACAAGAACAATAAATCAATTACTCATGGAAACAAGTCGAATTAGAAAACGTGAACCAAAAAATTAAAAATCCCTAATTAATACCTTAGCCAAATCTGACCCAAAAATCTGCAAAAATCAGAGAAGTTTTGGAGAGGATTAGTATATGAGAAACCCAAATTAACCAAAAATAAACCTAAATCGACATTGAAGAAGAGATAAATGGAAGAGGGGAGTCAAGATTGAAGAAGAGACATGGAAGAGGGGAGTAGATTGAAGAACGATACAAACCTATGAAAGTGGATCGGAATAACGACGACGGCGGAATAACGACGACGGCGGCGACGGACGGCAAAGAGAAAGAAAGCTTGGGCACGATCGAGAAGAAAGCTTCGGCACTAGAGAGAAATAAAGAAAGTTGTGGAAAGTTTTTTGTTTTTTTCTAAGTGTTTTGGCTTTTTGCCAACACAAAAATTAAAACAAGCGGGCAACTAAAAATTTATTCCCGCTTATAACCTATTATAACACTAAACGCTATAAAAAAGTAGTGTGTACCTGATTTATAGCAGAAAATTGAAAAACGCTATATTTAAGTGCTATGGTTGTTCACATTTCTTGTAGTGATGGTATCAGAGCACGTTCTTAATCTTTAATCTTCATCTTCTGTTTCTTCAATAATCTGTTTCGATTTCCAAATACTCTGTTTTGGTTCATCGGTTCTCTGTTTCCTCTTTGTCTCTGTTCGAATCTGGCTTCTAAACAAGTTGTTCGATTTCTTCTTCTACTTCTTCACGAAAAAGCATCTGTTTGTGAAGGAGAGTTACTACTGGTCTGTGACAGAGCTATTCATCATAAAAGCCTCAACCTTTCTGAGTTCTTTGTGGATTAGTGTCAAAGCGGGTTGAAGAGGAGAAGTTTTCAGGCGTTTGGTCTTGTGTATCCAAATGTTTGAGCTTTTTATCTTCTTTAGGTCGAGATTCTTAGATACTTTCAGAACTAGGCTCAGAACTTAAGCTTTGGTAGAGTAGTAGTTGCTGATTGGTTTGTTTGCGGTTGCTTATTGGGAAGAAAGTCGACAACTTTTCGGTTTATTTGTGGTTATTACATCCTGAAACTGTTGAAGATGGCTCTCACAGTTCAGAAAACGAGTGATACGTTCAAGGACTTGAAAGACTTGAAATTCGCAGTCACGTTGAATGGTAACAACTATCTGTTGTGGAAGAGAACCACAACAAATGTATTGGGAGGAAGGAAACTCACTAAATACATCGAAAATACCTATGAAGAAGCAAAGGCTAAAGAAGAGAACTTGAGTGAAGATACTTGGAGGCAGAATGATCTGAATGTTTTAAGTGCTCTACATTGTTCTCTAGACGCTGCGATCTTGGAAGGGTATTCGTATTGTGAGACTTCAAAGGAGTTATGGGACACTCTAGCTAATGTCTTTGGCAATGAGACTAATCTGACCCGAGTGTACCATATCAAGAAAGCTCTTGGTGAGCTAAGTCAAGAAGAGAGTGATTTCAACACTCACTTCGGAAAGTACAGGTCGCTTGTAGCTGAGCTTGAGATGTTAAGACCCTTCACTACTGAGGCAAAGGCTCTTAAGGATCGTAGAGAGCAAGATTTGGTCTTCGGTTTTTTGCTGACACTAAACTCGAGCTACACTGATGTGATTCAGCATATACTAAGAGATGACAAGGTGCCAACTCTAGAACAAGCGTGTGCGAAGATTCAGAAAGAGTATGGAGCTCAAGGACTGTTTAACAGCAAAGGAAGTCTCCCGACTGCAAACAAGGCTGGAGTTGTCAAGCAAGAAGACAAGAAGACATGGGTTTGTGACCATTGTAAGAAAAAAGGTCACTTGAAGGATAAATGCTGGCTTCTTCATCCTCATTTAAAACCAGAACAATTCAAGAACTTCAAGCCAAAGGCAAATGCGGTTAATGGAAGTGATGGTGGGTCAAAGAATGAAGAAAGAGCTATGGTTCAGTACGGGCAAGAGAAAGCGATACAGGCCATTACACAAGGCAAGAGTGGCGCATCTACCTCACAAGCTCAGGAGACTATTGTCATGAACAAGGCTGACCTCGAGTCTCTCCTCCAATCCATTGCATCTAAATTACACACTGGCGGTATTTCTCTCTTAACTTCTAATACTCGTGATAAAGATTCATTAGTATTAGATTCAGGGGCTTCTCACCATATGATTAGTAATCCTAGGTTGTTAGAGAACATTAAACCGGCCTTAGGTAATGTTAAAGTTGCAAATGGACATAATGTTCCAATAGAAGGCATAGGTTGCATAGATTTGTTCAATAAGAAGTCTAGTGCTTTCTATATGCCTAAGTTCACTTCAAATCTTCTCTCTGTTAAGAAAACGACTAAGGACTTGAATTGTTTAGCTATTTTTAGTCCTAATGACGTGAAGTTGCAGGATATTGAGAGTGGAAAAGTGTTTGGGCAAGGAAGCACCAAGGATGACTTATATGTGTTTCAAGACATCTCTTTAAATTCTGTTTCTAAGAATAATGTTTCTTCTATCTTTGCAAACTCTGTTAAAATATCGGTTGTATTGTGGCATGAGAGACTTGGCCATCCACATTCTCGAGCTTTAAGTTTATTAATGCCTGGTTTTTCTTATGATTGCGCAAATTGTGAAGCATGCATATTAGGCAAACATTGCAAGGCTGTTTTTCCTAAGTCTAGTGCGATTTATGAAAAATGTTTTGACCTTGTGCATTCTGATGTGTGGTCTTCACCTTGTGCATCTAGAGACAATCATAAGTACTTAGTCACTTTTATAGATGAGAAATCTAAGTATACATGGGTAACTTTGATGCCATCTAAGGATAGAGTTTATGATGCGTTTATAAACTTTCAAAACTATGTGACTAATCACTTTGATGCAAAGATTAAGATTCTTAGAACAGATAATGGAGGTGAATATACAAGCAACAAGCTCAAAGAACACTTGGAGAAATGCGGAATCCTTCACCAAACTAGCTGTCCATACAATCGACAACAAAATGGAGTTGCTGAGAGGAAGAATAGGCATTTAATGGAGGTGGCAAGAGCTATGTTATTTCAGAAGCATATGCCAAAGCGGTTTTGGGGAGATGCGGTGATGACAGCATGTTATCTCATCAATCGAATACCGACACGTATCCTTGATGATAAATCTCCATTTCAGATTTTAAACAAAACTATCCCTAACATTGATCATTTGAGGGTCTTTGGAAGTCTTTGTTTTGTGTTTGTCCCAGGTGACTTGAGGAACAAGCTGGAACCCAAGAGTAATAAGTGTGTTTTTATTGGATACTCAACAACTCAGAAAGGTTACAAGTGCTTCGATCCAGTCACCAATCGGTATTATGTGTCAAGGGATGTCAAGTTTATGGAAGACAAGGCATACTTTGGGGAAAAGAGTTGGGAAAGTGTGAAAGATTTGCCTAATTCGACTTCAGATAGAGCTAAAAGTCTCCGACATATTCTAGAGCATTTGGGTAATGTTAGTTCTTCACAAGAAGATGTGGAAGTTACACCAAATGTTGATACTAATGAAGCTCAAGAAAGTGGTGACAATGCAACACAAGAGCCTCAAGATATCCAACAAGAGAGTGGTAGAGAAGAAGGGGTAAGTGAAGAAGTGGAAGAGAAAGATCCATCTAGTGAAGGTGAAATTATTGAATCATCAAGCGGAGATGAGACTTATCATGCCCCACCAGTAACACGAGATCCTATCTATACTCGGGAGAATCCAAGAAGGAGTACAAGAGAGAGAAAATTGAAGAAGTGCCTCTATAATTGCCAAGCCGTGGCTCATCCAATCCAAGCAACATATTCGATTGACCTTCTTCCCGAGGAACATAAAGCTTTCATTAGTAAGCTAGATGTGGAATTTATCCCACAAAGCTATGAAGAAGCTAAGGAAAGCAAGGAATGGACTAATGCTGTGGATGATGAAGTACAAGCTATGATTCGGAATCATACATGGGATGAAGAAGAACTTCCACAAGGGAAGATGTGTTAGCTCAAAGTGGGTATTCACCATAAAGTATAAGAGTACTGGTGAAATTGAAAGCCACAAGGCTAGATTGGTTGCAAGAGGATTCACTCAAACCTATGGAGATGATTATAGGGAAACTTTTGCTCCGGTAGCTAAGCAACACACCGTAAAAGTTGTTCTCTCTTTGGCTGTGAACTTGGATTGGGAATTGTGGCAAATGGATGTCAAGAATGCTTTCCTTCAGGGGGAGTTGAAAGAAGAAGTTTATATGACACCTCCGCCGGGTTTAGAAGACATAGTGGCTCCGGGAAAGGTCTTAAGGCTTCGGAAAGCTATCTATGGACTAAAACAGTCTCCAAGAGCCTGGTATCATAAGTTAAGCTCTACCTTATTGGCGAATGGCTTCAAGAGATCACATTCTGACCATACTTTGTTTACTAAACAAGATAATCAAGGTATCGTAGTAGTTCTAATCTATGTTGATGACTTGATTATCTCGGGAAGTAACAAAGAAGGTATCCAAGCTATTAAGTCTGCTTTACATTCTTCTTTTAATATTAAAGATTTGGGTGTTTTGAAGTACTTTCTAGGGATCGAGGTGTGTAGATCAAAGGAGGGACTGTTTCTCTCACAAAGGAAATATGCCCTCGATCTCCTAAAGATTACAGGAAAACTTGGAGCTAAACCAGTTGAAACACCATTGGAGCAAGGCTATACGGTCAATCGAAAGGGGGAGAAAGATGATACTCCATATCATTGCCCAGAACAATATAGAAGACTTGTAGGTAAGCTTATATACTTGACATATACGCGACCTGACTTGTCTTTTGCCGTGAATCAGGTGGCTCAACACATGCAAGCCCCTACAGTTTACCATTGGAGCTTGGTGGAGAGGATTCTGAGATATATCAAAGGGAGTCCCGGTAAAGGCATTTGGATGGGAAGAAACTCAAGCACGGAGATTGTTGGATATTGTGATGCAGATTATAATGGAGATCGCAATACAAGACAAGCAACAACCGGCTTTTGCACATTCATTGGTGGGAACCTCGTAACTTGGAAAACCAAGAAACAGAAAGTGGTGTCATGTTCAAGTGCAAAAGCAGAATATAGGGCCATGAAGAAGCTTACAAATGAGTTAACATGGTTAAAAGCTCTACTTAAAGACTTCGGGATCGAGCAGAAGACTCCAATTACGTACCTTTCATTGTGATAATCAAGCAGCCATCCACATTGCTACCAATCCCGTGTTCCACGAGAGGACCAAGCACATAGAGACGGATTGCCACAAGACAAGAGAGAAGATAGAAGATGGTACGATTCTCCCTTGTTACACTAAGAGTTCGGACCAATTGGCCGATATCTTTACCAAGGCAGCAAGTAACCAAGTTTGCCAATTTATTCATGGTAAACTTGGTCTTGTAGACCTGACACATCCTTGAAAAATATTCTCCAACTTGTAGGGATAATACTCTTTTTCCCTAAGCTTGGTTTTGTCCCACGTGGTTTTCCAAGCTTAGGTTTTTAATGAGGTTATTCATACAATTGCCAAGTTTATACACAATTGGGCATTGTGGTATAAACTTGAGGGGGAGTGTTAATCAAGAAGACATTTAACACTAACTAAGTCATAGTTAAGGGTTAAATGTAGGTTACTCGGGTTACAGGTTACTTGGGTTACTCGGGTTACATGTTACTTGGGTTACTCGGGTTACTCGGGTTACAAGGCTGAATGAGGGTGCTTTTGGTCTTTGTGCACAACCCATCTCAGACCTAGATTATGTTCTCTATATAAACGTGTGTGCCTCCTCATTGTGTTTTAACACATCTTTCATCAATACATTTCTGCTTCTCTCCAATCTTAAATCATGGTTTCATCAATCTTTCCTACTTAAATATTAACAGTGTTCTTGTCTTTGTTCTTGATCAACATTGATTGTCCTATATCTGGGACCTATCAGATTGATAAGATCATAACCAAGATTAAACCGGAGAAGAATTGGTACAGGTCTCATAGTGAAAAGAAGAATTACGATCATGCGTTCCTAAGTTTTAGGGGATTGATCTCCACATTCCCATTTCTCCATGTTTCCTAGTTTGTATGATTTGTGAACGGTCCTTTGCTTTCCTTTGTGTATTTAAAGACTTCTAAGTCATGGTAATGAGGTAGACTTGAAAATTGATAAAAACAGAATTGTGTTCTTGAGTTACAATTCTCCTTGGCTTTGAGGAGGGACCAACGTAACAAATTAGTCATATATATAAGCCATCTTTCTTTCTTCCTTATAGTAGGAATGATTCGATACTAAAAGTGAACCAAAAGCGCAGCGAACAAGATTAAACTACTTTACAATGAACGAGTTTTGAAACTGACTTTCCCCATAACATCTAAAGTCACATTCTTGACTTCAGACCAAACAACAAAGAGTATTCATAATAATAACAATAATATTTAATTTCTTCAAATATATATGGTATTTTTTTTAATAAAATACTTAATCTTCTTGTTTCCTCGTAACACCGTTTTTTGTTTACTTGATTGATGATTTACTAGGAGATATATTTTACAATAAGCCAATAACTATGCCATAAGCTTGAAGAATTGAACACGAAGAAACTTCATCTCTCTTTCTCAAAGTCAATGGTCAATATGACATTCTTTCATTTTCTCCATCATTTATGGCTCATCGAGAGACATTTTTGTATAAGCAATCAGAACTTTCATCGCTACGCTATCTCATGGCTTCTTCTTCTTCTTCATCTTCTTTTCGAACGTGGAGACACCGTGTCTTTGCGAGTTTCCATGGGCCAGACGTCCGTAAAACATTTCTGAGTCATTTAAGCAAACAGTTTAACTATCATGGTATTACGATGTTCAATGATCAAGGTATTGAGAGAAGCCAAACCATCGCGCTTGAACTCACCCGAGCGATTAGGGAATCGAGGATCTCGATCGTTGTGTTCTCCAAGAACTATGCCTCATCAAGCTGGTGTTTGGATGAGTTATTGGAGATTTTGAAGTGCAAAGAAGATATAGGGCAAGTAGTGATGACTGTCTTCTATGGAGTAGATCCATCTGATGTGCGGAAACAGACGGGAGAATTCGGGAGTGTTTTCAATGAAACATGTGCTCCTAAAACAAAGGAGGATAAAACAAAATGGAGCCAAGCTTTGAACGATGTTGGCAACATAGCCGGCGAACAATTCCTAAACTGGTTTGTGCTTAATTAATACTCTCTCCGTTTTCGAATAGTTGTCGTTTTAGAGAAATTTTTTTGTTTTTAATTAGTTGTCGTTTTCAGTTTTCGATGCAAAATTTATTACTTTTTTATTTTTTATATTTATTTTTATTATACAACTTGATTTATTATTGGTTAAATTATGTTTAGGTAGATAATTAATGATATTTTTATATTGAAAAACTAACAACATTAATAGTTTCTTAATTTGTGTGCATATAGTTAAAACGACAACTATTCGAAAACAGAGGGAATAATACTTTATATTTCTTATGTTTTAAGTGGTGAAGTAAAAGAAATCTACAGTGTTTCAAGATGAATTAGAATATTTACGGTGAATAGATATAGAATTCAATGATTTTTTTAGCCCGGCCAATAGGAAAGAAACCATGATTTTTTTTTTTTGTCTTTATTCCTAAAAATTAAACCGTTTGGCAATTGGCGTTTAGATAAAATATTTGGTAAATAAATTAAATACCAGTTCCTTCTCTTGTGAGATATTGTAGAGTAAAGGAATATTTCTCAAATTTGGAGTAAAACATGAAGGAATAAATGTACTTTTAAATATTTTCTTTCTTGAAAAAAAGATACTCCGCTACACGAAGTATAACTGAATACATGGCTACACATGCCAAGTTTAAAAATGTACAACCAACTACACGAACTAAATATATTGCATGTCCACATATACCAACTATATGACGACATGTAGTCAACATCACGAACATTTTATTCCGGTACACTAATCATCAAAATCCGGCGTTAACCATCGTTGACCAGTATTGACCGGCATTGACCAACAAAAATATTCAAAAAATATATTTTTATTTATTTTAAATGTTTTTAAAAAGAATTATTCTATCTAATCGGTTATGGTGTTGTATAATAAAAAAAAACACATTCTATATTTTTAAAAACACATTCTATATTTTTAAAAATATATATATATTTTGTATGATAATAATAATTAGTTATTTTTTTTAATTTTAAAACTAAACTAAAAGTGAAATAAATAAATTTTATTACAAAAAATTGAATATATGACTCTTTAGTCTAAATTATAAAATAAGAAGTTAATGTTTTTTATTGACAATGTTAAACAAGTAATTCTCTTAATTATTTTTATTTCACTTTTATTTTAGTTTTTAAATTGAAAAACCTAACTAATTATAATAATGAATGTATTAAATATATATACAAAATATCTTTATGTTGAATATAGAATATATTAGTTTTGTTTTTAATATTAAAATAAATAAAAATAATTTTTTGAATATTTTTGTTGGTCAATACCAATGGATATTATTACATCAGTCTAGGCTACAGACTATGCGTCGGGCTACACACTCATGAGCCTCTCTAGACGCCCCGATTTTAGGGAAAGTCGATTTTTTGGTTTAAGCATTTAATATTAGTAGTAATCTGTTACCTTAAAACAATCTCCAATGCCCATCTCTATATTTTCCTCTATTTTAGAGGTGATTTTACTCCAATGTATCCCTCTAAAATAGAGTTTCCTCTAAAAGAGAAGAGAGAGACAATGTATGCCTCTATATATAGAGTAATCCAATGTCTCTCTCCTCTATTTTAGAGGAAACTTTATTTTAGAGGGATACATTGCAGCAAAATCTCCTCTAAAATAGAGAAAAATATAGAGATGTGCATTAGAGATGCTCTAAACCAGCCTGTTTAGAGCAACCACAACGTTGGTCTCTAAGAAGGTTTCTCAAGATTATAATAGTAAAAAGAAATACAAAAAAGGAGAGAGAACTAGAGATGTTTCTCTTTTAAGGTACGTTGCTAGGCATTTTAGAAACTCTCCCTCTATTTGTCTATCTCCCTCCATTTGTCTATCTGTTAGTGGTCCTTTTTTTAATATTAAAAATTAATATTTAATTTATAAGAAACTCAAAAACTTATTTCAACCGATGTGGTTGCTCTTAATACCTTGTTTTTCTTTCTTTTTTGGTTTATAAATAAATTAACACAGTTTTGATTAAGTGAAAAAAATAATTAAATTTATATAGAAAAGATGTTTAATGAAATTGTAAATCATGATTTAAGTTAGCCCCAAATAATTCTTACCAATTGTAACTTAACTATTTTAGTTCTCATGTAAACTAGATGTGAATAAAGTATAACCTCTATAAATTAATACTCGATAAATTAATACTTCGATAAATCAATACATTTTTTTGGTCCTAAATTTGGTTTTCGAGATAATTAGTATATCGATAAATTAATAACTCGATAAATTAATAAAGTATTATAGTCCTAACTGTATTAATTTACAGAGGTTTTACTATATATAACATGTTCAAATAAGTAACATTTTCAGCATTTGATATTTTATAGATCATGTTTTATCATAAAAATCAGAAAAAAATATAAAAAATAAGTAAATAGTTTACTAACGCGTAGACTCCGCTTAAGCTTTGATCAATCGATCTAGGCGCTAGGCCGCTATTGAACAGTTATCTACCGCCTAACAATATTTGGAACATTGGATATTATAGTATCTTGTTGAATCAATATTAATTTTATATTAACTTAAATTGGTAGGAAAGGAATAATGTTATCTTATCTTTATAATCAATTTTTCTCAAGAGTGAAAACAATTTGATGGAGACAATATTTCCTATTTTCTCTTGTTAGGGATAATGAAGCAAACATGATTGAGAAGATTGCAAGAGATGTTTCAGAAAAGTTAAATAATACACCATCAAGGGATTTTGATGACATGGTTGGACTAGAGGATCATATGACGCAATTGCAGTCATTGTTACATTTGGAATATGGTGGAACTATGATGGTTGGCATCTCTGGTCCTGCAGGCAGTGGTAAGACTACTATTGCTAGAGCTTTGCAAAGCTTACTCTCTGATAGGTTTCAACTTACTTGTTTTGCGGAAAGCCTTAGGGGGATCTATCATAGTGATCTTGATGAGTATGGCTCAAAATTGCGTTTACAAGAACACTTTCTTTCAAATCTTTTGAAGCAAGACGGTACGAGGATATGCCATTTAGGTGTAATACGGGAAAGGTTATGCGACCAGAAAGTGCTTGTCATTCTTGATGATGTGAATGATATAAAGCAATTAGAAGCTTTGGCTGATGAAACTACATGGTTTGGTCCTGGAAGTAGGATTATTGTGACAACCGAAAACAAAGATCTTTTGCAGCGACATGGTATCAATAATATGTACAATGTGGGGTTTCCATCTGATGAGGAAGCTCTCAAGATCTTATGTAGATATGCTTTTAAACAAAGCTATCCATATAATGGTTATAAAAAGCTCGCAAAAAGTGTAACACAGCTTTGTGGTAACCTTCCACTAGGTCTACGAGTGGTGGGTTCTTCTTTACATGGGAAAAATGAAGACGAATGGGAATACGTAATACGCAGGCTAGAAAGTATTCTTGATCGAGACATCGAGGATGTGCTAAGAGTCGGCTATGAAAGTTTAGCTGAGGATGAACAAACCCTCTTTCTCTACATTGCAATATTCTTCAACTATAAAGATGGAGATCTTATAAATGCCATGCTTGCTGACAATAACTTGGATATCAAACAAGGATTGAAAATTTTATTAAATAAATCTCTCATATATATATCAACTGAAGGGGAAATAGTTATGCACAAGTTACTTCAACAAGTAGGTAGACAAGCCATTCATAGACAAGACCCTTGGAAACGCCAAATCTTAATTGATGCTCGAGAGATCTGTGATGTCCTTGAAAATGATACGGTTAGCTTTTTATTTTTATTTTTTGGTTCCATATATTTGCTTAATTCCATTTATCTATTGTGCTAACAGTGTACTTATTCCTTGTTTGATTTAGGGTACTCGAGCTGTGTCGGGTATATCCTTTGATACATCAGGAATCAAAGAAGTGATTATTAGCGACCGAGCTCTTAGAAGAATGCGTCATCTTCGATTTCTCCGTGTTTACAAGACAAGATATGATGGAAATGACAAAGTGTACATACCTGAAGAGATGGAGTTTCCAGCTGGTCTAAGGTTACATACCCAAGAAAGACTCTCCCTCTTAAATTTTGCCCAGAAAATCTCATTGAACTCCACATGCGGGATAGCCAGCTCGAGAAGTTATGGGAAGGAACTCAGGTTAGTTATATGTGTTTTGTTTAGATTTGACGCCATACAAATAAAACATTGTTTAAAATAAGTTTCCAAATGATTTTATAATTCTTTTAAAATATTATAAAAATCCTATCATTATTAAAAATATATATACTCGAAAATTTATTAAAATATTTATTTTTCAAGATTAGCAATAATTTAACAGTTTGATCAGATAATTTTCATGTATATAATTCTGGCAATTTTCTCATGAAATGACATCATTGTAGAACAAAGATACAATCAAAAGTTGTGTTACAACCCCACAAAATATGAAAATAAAGTTTTTGAGATGATTTGTGAGTCTATCCAAAGCCTATTTATATAGAAGTTTAGATAAAATAATATTGTGAGTTTGCCTGTATGTTCTTCCGGTGACGGTAATTAATTTTTAATTCCATCGAAACTTTTGGCATAATTAAACAATAAAAAAGTTAGTAAATTTTAGATACCAATTTGTTAGGCAGGCCTCAAGGCCTGATTATCTTAATAGGATTAATGTTCTTTTTTGACATGATTATTGTCTCAATACCAACAATTAGAAACGAAAAAAAATCATATTTCTAACCCTCAAAATATGAGTAGATAACACTTTAAACCTCGAAAGAATTTCACTTAAACTATAAACCACCAAAATAATTTTACTAACACTTTAAACTTCCAAACTAGCTTTTTTGTTTGCGCCTCCATAAAAATAAAAGAACAATCAATTTCGTTTGTTAAATATAATTTTTTAATTTAATTTAAATTTAAATTAATTTTCTTATTTATTATAATTAATAAAAATCTAAAAAAAAAAAAAACTTCATCTTCTTCGTTTACTCACCATTTGACTATGAATTTTTTTGATAAATCTCTTAAACTAGAGACTAAGGGGGTAATTGATAAAGACTTTGGAAGCTTTAAAAAATTTTAAAAGTCTTAAAAGTCATTATTTTTCCAATCACACTTTAATGGCTTTATTTAATTTAAAAGTCTCTATAGCCATTTCTTTTTTTTTTACTCTTTAGTTTTAGTTTTTTTCTAAAGTCACATATTCCTAGTTTTCAAAATAAAAATAATAAAAGCTTATAGATTTTTTTAATTTCCTCTTCCCCATGAGTATAAAAACTCTCATAAAAAATTTTAAATAACTAATTTTTAAAAAATTTCATTTGATTTACAATGGAATTCTTTTTCTTGTTTATTAAGATCCATTTATCCATATTTTCGATCGTTATTTAAAATTGTAATTTCTACGGTCACATGTTTTACCAATTGGTTATAAAAAATTTTACAGTCAAAGTCCTAACAGCAAAAGTCTCTACAGCCAAAGTTTTTATAGCGAAAGTCTTTAAAGCCAAAAGTAACAGTCGTTACCAATAGGTATGACCAAAAGCTAACCGTAACCGTATTTCGGACAGTAACCAGACCGTTTCTCAACCGTAACCGTATAAAACGGTTAATAACCGTAACCGTTAACCGTAAAAATAGATTAGTTACGGTTAAAAATTATACTAACCGTAACGTATCAAAACCGTTAGTTAACCGTACGGTTAACTGCATGGTTAACCGCATAGTTAACCGTGCAGTTAAAACCTAAAATACATAATTATTTCACTAAAAAGGTGCCCTAAATGGTTCAATGCGCCCACTATTAAATTTAAACCACTCCATTCGTCCACTACTCATTTTCCACAAATCAAATCATAAATAATTTATAAGTTATTATTTCTACTCATGTAATCGTTTCTTAATTCTCATAACATCCTTTCTATAGTATTGTTTGGAATACGTATTGTCAATAAAACAATAACTCAATCATTATAATTATTACCATTGATTTAGTTATTCGTTGGTTTACTTAACTGAACAAAATAGCTAATTAACTATAAATATTAAAGTATATAATCACATATATTATATATTGTAAAATAAATATTATTTGATAATCATCATTAAAATTTTTATTCTAAAGGTTAAAAATACCTAAGTTTTTGTCTTTGATATTAACGCTATCGTAATAATTAAATAACCGTAACCGTTGTAACCGTAACCGTATTTAACCGTATATATAACGGTTAAGATTACGGTTAGAGAAATATTCTAACCGTAACCGGAGGTTAATAAACCATAACCGCAATAACCGTAACCGTGGTCATGCCTAGTACAAGAGAAACCAATGGGCCCCTAAAGCACAAGAGAAGTATAAAGTAGAAGAATATAAACCAAATAATGTAGATTCTAAGATACAAGAGAAAACAGATGGTAAACACATAGAATGGGCTGAATAAAAACTTGAAAATTTTATGGTCGGACGGTGATTAGTCGAAGATGATAAAGTTTTTTTTTACCTTTTTATTAATAGAAAAATCATAATAAATAATAAAAATCATTAAATTTAAATTAAATTAAATAAATTAATAATAAACAAACATAAATTAACTGTTCTATCAGTTTTATGGCGATGCAAACAGAAAAGCTAGTGTTAGTAAAATTATGTTGGTGGTTTATAGTGTTAGTAGAATTCGTTTAAGGTTTAATCAGTTAAACAACAAAGTATTCACTCTTCCGCGATTACACTAACTTGAGTTTACCCGACAACACTTTTTTTGGGTTTGAATATGGATTGAAAAGTGTTGCCGGGCCAATCTATTAAACTCGAGTTAGTGTAATCGCGGAAAATAAACACAATTTGAGGATTTTAAATCGTAATTGACGATAATTTTTTTAACTGGGATAAATTAAATAATTAGGATGGAATTAAAAAGTTTATAATTAGTTCATGGTGAATTGGATAGAGGCTAAACTTAATCCGAGCTGAGCTTGTATATTAAAAATGGATTGCTATAGGCAGGCCAAAGATGCTATGATTAGTTACATTCTCATTATGTTTGGAGAGATTGAACCTGACTAGATGTTTTTCTTTTTTCTTATGATTTTACGTACAGATGCTGAATAATCTTAAGAATTTGGATTTGTCATGGTCTCGACAGTTGAAGCAACTCCCAAATCTTTCAAATGCTACAAATTTGGAGAGATTGAGCCTGACTAGATGCGAGAGTTTAGTTGAACTTCCACTCTCTATTGGGAATTTACATAAACTAGAGGACTTGGAGATGTTTGGCTGCTCACGGTTGAGAAGTTTCCCAAATCTTACTACCAACATTGACACAAAGGACGAAGCAGTGCATGTGTCAACAAGGAACTTGTCTCGTCCTTTCACTCCCACGAGAGTAAGGCGTCTAAATCTAAGCTATACTAATATTGAGGAGATTCCAGATTGCATCAAAAGTTTTATGAGATTGCAATGCCTATATCTTTCTGGCTGCAAAAAACTCGCAACATTACCCGAGCTCCCAAGTTCACTCACATTGCTAATGGCTAACGGTTGTGATTCATTGGAGAGAGTAACTTGCCCTCTAAACACTCCGAATGCGAAACTCATTTTCACCAACTGCTTTAAACTTACTGGGAATCACGGAAAGCAATTATACAACAATCATTTCGTGATGGCTTTGCATGCTTACCTGGAAGAGTAATGCCTGCAGAGTTCAATCAAAGAGCAAGAGGGAATTCCTTGACCATTCAACGTGGGGATGGTAGTACGTTTTCTCCATTCTCTAGATTTAAGGTTTGCGTCACAGTTTTACCAAATCAACGGAAAAGAGGATACCGATATCTTGGTTTATGGGGTCGTATAACAGGCAAAAGCGGATCTACCTATTACAAAAACCCTTGTGTATCCCCCAGAATTCAAATGGAACATCTATGTATATTTCATTGTGATTTTCCTGAAGAAGAGATATCCCTTGGAGCGGGCAGCGATATATTGTTTGAACTTAAAAGCCGACTAAACAACTGCAAGTTTGTTGAATGTGGTGTACGAATCTTGACAACCGAATCAGGTAGAAGTTGCGATGGGAGCAATGATTCTCGAGTATAGCAAGTTTCTGAGGAGAAAGACGATGGCTTGAGCGACAAGTATTAAATTGTGATCACACCACTAGAGACTATAATCACTTAATCAGCTCTGAAACTGAGACGAAAAGGAAGAAGACAATGTCTAAGGGAGCAAACATACATGTTCTTGGATTTGGCATATTAAGATGATGAGAGACTTTGAACATATATATGTAAGTGATCGAGTTTGAATAAATCTCCAAGCAACAACTTCGAGATCCTATACTTGTTGTACATAAGAAGAAGTCCTCTCTAGGGCAACTTCTGTTTTTTACCCCTGTTTTTCCTCTGTTTTCCATAAACCAATTTTAACAATTTTACTTAGAGTTTAATTTCAGCAACAGCTTGATGTGAAGGGTTTTTGTTATTAATTAAGACTTCACAAATAGCATGTGAACTTATTTATACCAGCAAAGTTTAGAGTTTATGTGATTACAAGTAATGATGCTATTACAAACTTCAAACCTCTTCTTGAATTCGATTTAAAATCCAAAAAACACTAAATTACATACCCAAGTAATGCTATCTCAGTAGATGAAACCAAATTTCAATCTTCTGTTCCAATAATCATCGATCGTAGAGCACAGTCCGACACATTGGGCAAGTGTTTTTGCGGTATAGCCACTCAACGAGACATCCATTATGGAAGACATGTGAACAACTCATGCGAGTGGGTACTGTTTTCAAACCGGAGACTAGACTCTAGAGACAAATTGAACATGACTCTGTTTTCATCTTCAAACTCTTCAATTCCTCTGCTTTCATGCTCCCTTGTAGAACCATCCTTGATATCTTTAATGATCTCTCGTCGACATGGAAGTACCAGTAACTAAATGTGACACTCACATTCAATTCAACGCCATTGTACCCAAAACCTGAGTTGATTGCTGCCGTCGCTATAGAGTCGATCGTGGAGTAACGATTGGATGTGTTGGTGACTACAACTAGGGAGACTAAAATTGATGGGAAGTGATTTATAGGAAAGCGGAATTGACGTTACGGTTCGATGGCCGGTGGCAGGGTTTACAAGGATCTCATCCTTTATGGTATTGATGATGAGGAGGATTGAGTTTGTATATCTTTCTGATGGAGAGAGACTTCTCTCTTGGACCTGAACTTCCACTGCGAGTTTGGGAATGGGATCATTCATGTGTGACCGACGAATCTAAATCTGGCTGAATTCAGCTGAATTGTTGAATCTTGCTTAATTATAACATTTCTATATGGTCACTGCAAAAATGCTGAATCTGGCTGAATATTTTTTTGATGTTACCATTTAGACTCATAGTTTCGTTTTTGTTTTCTTTGCCACCAAAAAGTTTCCTATTATTTGTCGCTAAGATGGTATCTCACCAAAATTTTAGTTATATCTATTTTAATTTAAGTTGAAAACTTCATTATCAAATACAACCTCCACCGGTGAGATGCCTATTGGGTATCTCATAACTATATTAATAATATTTTTCTATTTTTTTAGCAAAGAAATAAAGATCAATAAAATATTTTTATATTACTTAATTTAAAATTTTTATGTTAAATTTTCATTAATATTTTATATAAAACATCAAATTACATGTTAAATATATACAATATTAGTAATCTTAATATTAATAACAAAAACTAAAAATGCAATCGATGGTAAATAATACAATCAAAGAGTTATACTTTCTTAAATAACACAATTAAGCAAAGGTACATAGAGTAAACTTAAGAAAAATAGGGAAAAAAAAAAATTAACTAGACAAGGTTTTACCAAAATGTTGACAAAAATCATCAAATTATATATTTTTAATTTTAAAAATATTATATTATTGTATGAACTAAAACAATATTAATTTAATATTTTTTTAATATCAATTAAATTAGTATTAAAATATAATTTAAAATTATACATAATGGAGCTTGATATATAGGTTATTTTATTTTATTAATTATAAAAAATAAACAAAGTATGCACTACTTTAATTAATATTCTAAAAATATGTGATAATTGATTTATCCAAAAAAGGTTGAAGCAACTATAGAATGACAAGTATTCATGTTTCGATGAGAGAAATTTCTCATTTGAGAATCGGTTCTAAGACATAATGAAATAAAGCTGATGAATGTATTGATGTATAATTATCATATTATTATGATTAGTGACCTTGTACATAAATCTAAATAATAGAGTTTGAATAAACCTGTGGGCAACAATTTCGAGATACTATACTTGTTGTACATCAGAAAAGTCCTCTCTAGGGTAACTTATGTTTCTTACCCCTGTTTTTCCTCTGTTTTCTCACTGTTTTCGTCTGATTTTTCCCTTCAGTAGTAGTATTCTGCTCTTGATATATCCTGAGAGGCGAAAAACGGCAAAGAATTCATATTGATGTTAGTCTCCAGATAAAAACAAAAAGAGAGGAGAGGGAATATTTTTTGGTGAATTCAAATTTTTACTTTAATATTCCCAGTGGGGACTCGAGAGCATGGTCATCTACTAGCCATAGATTAAAGTATTGAAAGCGTTTTATCTTCCGTTCGTAACCGATAATGTAGTTGTTATGGACTATGACATGTTTCCCCTTTGTCTCATTAACCCATGTCTCATTCTTGAAGTACAATCCTTCTGATGGGAAAGCTGATTGTGGAAGCAAGTAGACATCTACCTGCTTAATGGAAGATCACAAAAGAGTTGAGAATTCAAATAAGTGAAAATAATTTTTGAGATTGAAACTAATGTCGTAATTAAACATTTATATGTAGATTAGATGAGTTATGTCTTATGAGTAGAAAAAGTTAGAATCTCAAAGTACCAAAAAAGTTTAGTCTAACTTCCATGATCCTATTCATTCCATCGAGATGATGGCTTTTATATCGGCCTATGTATCTTGAACTGAATCATATTTTAAGACCAACTATAATTATACTTAGACCGACCGAGTTGAGTTTACAAACTAGATTCTGAAAATAACCTTGTGTGTGAAACGAAAGTTGTAATCGAACATTCATAAGTAGACAATAGGAGTTATGTGTAGATAAAGTTAGAATATCAAAGTACCAAAAAAGTTTAGTCTAACTTCCAATATGTGATCCTAATACGTTCCATGGAGATGATGACTTTTATCGGTCGATCTTGAACCGAATCACATTTTAAAACCAACAATAAATATTACTAAATCCAGCCAATTTGAGTAAACTAGTTTCTGAGACCTTGTTAAATTTCATGAACTTTTAATTCAAAACCAATTGGTAATGAATACAATGGTTCATGTGTCTTCTTTATTATTTTTGGTCTATTCTAATTTTCGATGTGGAATCTTAATGTCATTTTACCCAACGAATAGGTAAATCAAATCTTGTGAAAATTTTAGAGAAAGTAGATGTGGAATTTAAAGGAAGCAACATTACATACCTGATTAGCTGTTTTGTGAAGCGCCCAATTAAAAGCAGGTTGATCATGTGGTTTCTTTGCTTGGGTGTTATTCCAAGGTTGAGCTTGAATTTCCTCAACCCATGTCTTCATTAGAAGCTATGCGCCATCCGTGGAACGCAAGAAAATCATGCAACTACATACATAAGTCACTCCGCCTCTAGGGTAACTTATGTTTTTTAAGCCTGTTTTTCCTCTGTTTTCTTCCTATGGTCGTCTGATTTTTCCCTTCAGTAGTAGTATTTAGCTCTTCATATATCCTGAGAAGCGATACGAAATAGCAAAGAATTCGTATTGATGTTAGTCTTAAGATAAAAACAAAAGAGAAGGAATATTTTTTGGTGTATTCAAATTTTTACTTTAATATTCCCAGTGGGGATCGACTCGAGAGCATGGTCATCTACTAGCCATAGATTAAAGTCTTGAAAGCGTTTCATCTTCCGTTCGTAACCGATAATGTAGTTATTATGAACTATGACATGCTTCCCTTTTGTCTCATTAACCCATGTCTCATTCTTCAAGTACAATCCTCCTGACGGGAATGCTGATTGCGGAAGCAAGTAGACATCTACCTGCTTAATAGAAGATCACAAAAGAGTTAAGAATGAATTCGAACAAGTGAACATAACCTTTGAAACTGGAACGAAAGTCGTAATAAAAATCAAACATTTATATGTAGATTAGAGGAGTTATGAGTAGAACAAAAAAAATATCAAAAAAGTTTAGTCTAACTTACGTGATCCTATACGTTCCATCGAGATGATGGTTTATATCGGCCTATATATCTTGAACTGAATCATATTTTAAGACCAACCATAATTTTTACTTAGACCGGTCGAGTTGAGTTTACAAACTAGATTATGAAAATAACCTTTTGTATGAAACGAAAGTCGTAATCGAACATTCATAAGTAGACAATAGGAGTTATGTGTAGATAAATTTAGAATATCAAAGTACCAAAAAAAGTTTAGTCTAACTTCCAATGTGTGATCCTAATACGTTCCATCGAGATGATGACTTTTATCATTCGATCTTGAACCGAAGCACATTTTAAAAACAACCATAAATCTTACTAAATCCAGCTGATTTTGATTAAACTAGATTCTGACACCATGTTAAATTTCATGAACTTCTAATTCAAATTCAAATGGTAATGAATACAATGGTTAATGTCTTATTTATTATTTTGGGTCCATTCTAATTTTCGATGTGGAATCATCACACACTCTTTGGAGATCTTAAATCTTAATGTCATTTTACCTAACGAATGGGTAAAACAAAGCTTGTGAAAATTTTAGAGAATGCAGATGTGGAATTTGGAGGAAGTAAAAATAAATACTTGATTAGCTGTTTTGTGAAGTGCCCGATTAAAAGCAGGCTGATGATCATGTGGTTTCTTTGCTTGGGTGTCTTCATTAGAAGCTTTGCGCCATCCGTGGGCAAGAAAATCATGCAGCTACATACATAAGTCACTCCGCCTCGACTCCGTGGTGGTAGACCATGGGAGTGATTCAAAGGCTTAATCTGGCAGCACCAAAATCAAACAAAGAATAAAGATACATAAACACTCTAATTAAAATGCAAAAGATGCAGATATGTTACGTACCGCAATCATGTCATCCATGAAGTATGCGTCGTGGCTTCCCTGTAAATATTGAAACGGATCTTGTAGCCAGACCATATCAACATCATTGTACATAACATTGTAACCTAGCTCCAAATGTTCAAGAGATGTTGTGGCCTCCGAGATGTCAAATTGAAAAAACCCTATCGAATATAATAAATTATTAAAAATATCTGATTATTCGCATTTTAGTATACATATTTTTTGCATAGATTATCACATCGGTGTCAATATAATAGTTATGAACAGTCATCGACTCTTCGGAAAAAATTGAAGAGATATCAGAAGAATGGGACCTAGTACAATTAATGCATTACATACGTATGATCAATACACTTCAACCATATTATTTTATTCCACCTCTTAGAAAGAAAAATACTACTAGCATCATTGTGATACATTTATATCAAACTTCTTCCCCAATAATAATTTGATTTATTGGTTGCATCATTGTGGTAAAAGTCATAACTACCGCAAGACATAAAAGAGAGTTTCTAAGCGGCTATACGGTAAAACAGGGGAGGCAAAATCATTTCACAAAGTTATGATCTGAGTAATCTTTTAAATAACACTAGCTAGCTAATAAAACAAAATCAAAGATCTATGCAAAGTAGAAAAATAAGTATTCTAACTAAATTACAAAAGACACATACATAAAAATCCGAGTTTCGAAGATAGATTTTATGAACTTAAAGTTAAGGATATTATTATATCAAGCTAGGGACGGACGTTGGCTAAGAAAAGGTGAAAAGTCTCTCTGTACCTGGGAACCAAATTTGTGTGCGGCTTGAGGATCCAACGCTGAAGGAATGAGGACGGCATGACCAGGCCACCTTTCGTTGACTTTGTACAAAGTAGCGTAATCTTCAGCGATCACAAGAACTTTTTCTTCATGGTTCTGTCTAGAAATGCTAATCAACCAGGGTAACTCCATGATAGGACTACTCTGACCTAGGTACATATTCATGGAGTTGAGTTTTGTGATGTTAGACGTGTTGACATTGAAGAGTGTTGGAGAGGAGGTCTGGATTGCTTTACCGGTGGCTGGAGCACTATTTGCATTTGTCGTAGTTGCCATAGTGACGGCTAAGAGTTTTTGAAAATTTTTTTAGGTTTTTAGAATCGTAAGCTCTATACTATATAGAATTTTAATATTTTAACTTTATTATAATGAGATTTACAACTATTTATAGAGAGATACATGATAGATTAGGGTACACTAATGATAATTGATAAAAATATAAGTTTGACCATGTACACCTTTTTATTGAGAATGTCATTTTTTACCAAAATACTTCTACTCTCTATTTTAAGCATTTTTTGAATGATTTTACCAAAAAAATATGTAGATATACAAAAATATAGATGCTTTGTAAAAAACAATTGGTGATTTAGTTGAAAAAGTTGATTTTTGATGGATAAAATTTCATCTTATTAGAATACGTTTTTTTAGTGTTCTGCGAATATCAGAGTTTCTATTCTAAACTTTTGTACATGTTCAACGAGTTTTAGACTAGATTTCTGTTCTAACAAATTCAGAAGACCGGATTACAAATTTCTAAAACCGTAGAACATGTATTCTACGCTTTCCTTGATGTTCTAATTTTTGTTAGAAAATCGATTCTACGATTTATACTATATTCTAAAAACGTTAGAAAATGTTTTATTCTAAAATAATAGAGATTTCAATTTCTGAAATGTTTATAACTTCTAAATATAGAAAGTGAATCTTTTAAAAAGGAAACCGAAAATTTATTAAATATTTTGTTTTAAATGTTTAGATTATGATCTGAGGAAGTTTAGAATACATAGTCTAAATTTTTTAGATAAAAAAAAAAAACATAAAATCGAGTAACCATAAGTTTAAAACGATTGTGTGCCCTAATTCTTAAAGTCTTCTTCTTCACATGTTCATTTTGAGTCCACGTTGAAAGCTTTGGTAGATTTGTCTGTTATTTTGAGTCCACGTTGAAAGCTTTGACATACATATCTGATATCTCTTATACCGTTTAGATAAATCTGTTTAAAAAAAAAAGAACATAGCATTTAATCTTCCCAACAAGAAACCTTTCATTGCGCGTTTGCATTATTACACAGGAGCCCACATTCCCATTTCTTCAAAGTCACGTTGACTTTCTTTTTTCTTCTCTACTTTCGTTTGAAATTCGGTTACGTTCCAAAGAAACTTCTCATTTCACACACTCTCTCTCTCTCAGAGTAAGAACACGGCTGCCATATTTTCCTCCACAAAAGGCGTATCTCTGTGAATCTGTGATTTTGAACCACTCAAGATCATCTCTCATGGCTTCTTCTTCTTCTTCATCTCGTACCTGGAGATACCGCGTCTTCACGAGCTTCCATGGACCAGACGTCCGCAAAACATTCCTCAGCCATTTACGCAAGCAGTTTATCTACAATGGAATTACGATGTTCGATGACCAAGGGATCGAGAGAAGCCAAATCATCGCCCCAGCTCTCACACAAGGAATTAGAGAATCGAGGATTGCGATCGTCGTGCTCTCGAAGAACTATGCTTCATCAAGCTGGTGTTTAGATGAGCTATTGGAGATTTTGGATTGCAAAGAAGAATTAGGGCAGATAGTAATGACTGTCTTCTACGGAGTAGATCCTTCTGATGTGCGAAAACAAACTGGAGATTTTGGGACTGCTTTCACTCAAACTTGTGCTCGTAAAACAGAGGAGGATCGGAGAAAATGGAGCCAAGCTTTGACCTTTGTGGGCAACATAGCCGGAGAACACTTCCAAAACAGTTCCAAAACTGTGATGAACTGGATTTGATTATAGTTATAAATTTGAAATCTTTAAGTTTATCTAATGAATTGGAGTTTGATTATATTATCAATTCTTGAAGTATATTTGATCAAATTTTGCTATTATGTTTATAGTGTTTAATCCTAATAAGATGTTTGTTACTGCTTATGTTTTGGAGTGTGTTTTTATTGTTTATTTTGGTCGAATCTGTGCTCTCTTGGGAACATAAGAAATTTTCCTTTTCCTTTTGTTAGGGACAATGAAGCGAAAATGATCGAGAAGATTGCATGTGATGTTTCAGATAAACTGAATGTTACACCATCTAGGGATTTTGATGGCATGGTTGGACTTGAAGCTCATTTGAGAAAAATGGAGTCTTTGCTTGATTTAGATAATGATGGAGCTAAGATTGTTGGAATCTCTGGTACTGCAGGCATTGGTAAGAGTACCATTGCTAGAGCTTTACATAATGCACTATCTACCAGGTTTCAGCATAATTGTTTTATGGACAACCTTCATGAAAGCAATAAGATTGGTCTTGTTGACTATGGTTTGAAGTTACGCTTACAAGAACAACTTCTTTCAAAGATTTTGAACCTAGATGGCATTAAGATAGGCCATTCAGGTGTGATACAAGAAAGGCTACACGACCAAAGAGTTCTTATCATTCTTGATGATGTGGAGAGTCTAGATCAACTAGAGGCTTTGGCTAATATCATGTGGTTTGGTCCAGGAAGTAGGGTCATAGTGACCACTGAAAACAAAGAGATTTTGCAGCAACATGGTATCAGTGATATATACCATGTGGGTTTTCCATCAAGTAGAGAAGCTTTAATGATCTTTTGTCTATCTGCTTTTCGACAAATCTCTCCACCTGGTGGGTTTATGGATCTTGCGGTCGAAGTTGCAAAGCTTTGTGGTAATCTTCCATTGGCTCTACATGTTTTGGGGTCATCATTGCGGGGAAAGAACTATTCTGACTGGATAGAAGAGCTACCAAGATTACAAACTTGTCTTGATGGAAGAATTGAGAGTGTATTGAAAGTGGGCTATGAAAGTTTACATGAGAAAGACCAAGCACTATTTCTCTACATTGCGGTCTTCTTCAACTATGAACATGCTGATCATGTGACATCCATGCTGGCAAAAACTAACTTGAATGTTAGACCTGGGTTAAAAATATTACCTGGGTTAAAAATATTAGCCAATAGACATCTCATACACATAGGTCATGGCGCTAAAGGTGAAGTGGTAATGCACCGTTTGCTACAAGTAATGGCTAGACAAGTCATTTCCAAACAAGAGCCTTGGAAACGCCAGATTCTTGTAGATAACCAAGAGATTTCCTATGTTTTGGAAAATGCAGAAGTAAGCTTTCTGTTTGAAGGGATTTGCATTTTGCACTGCAATTTAAGCAGATCATCTTGCCACTAACAAGTTTTGCTTTGGCATTGTTTTTGTTAGGGTAATGGATCAATTGTGGGTATATCCTTTGACGTAGGAGAGATCAACAAATTAACATTAAGCGCTAGGGCGTTTGAAAGAATGCACAATCTTTTCTTACTAAAAGTTTATGATCGGTGGCTTACTGGAAAAAGACAACTGCACATTCCAGAGGAGATGGATTTTCTTCCTCCCCTAAGCTTACTACGTTGGGATGCATACCAGAGAAAGACTCTTCCTCGTAGATTTTGCCCAGAAAATCTCGTTGAACTACACATGCCGGATAGCCAGCTCGAGAAGCTATGGGACGGAACTCAGGTTAGTTCTTTATGTGTGTTGATATGAAAAGAGAGAGCTTATAATTGATATTCACATTGAAATATATAAAATAAGATGAAAAAGTTCTCATTATGTTCTGACTTTTACGTTCAGCCGCTTCTAAATCTCACGAAGATGAACTTCAGAGGGTCATCTTGTTTGAAGAAACTTCCAGATCTTTCAAATGCTTCAAATCTTGAGAGATTGGATCTGTATGAATGCATTGCTTTGGTAGAGCTTCCATCCTCAATTTCTAATCTTCGTAAACTAAACTACTTAGAGACGAATCTTTGCAGAAGTCTACAAGTCATTCCAACTCTCATTAACTTGGCATTTCTTAAAGAGATCAAGATGATGGGATGCTCACGATTGAGAAGTTTTCCAGATATTCCTACCAACATCATTAACCTCTCTGTAATGGAGACAACGGTTGCAGAATTTCCCGCATCACTTAGGCATTTCTCGCTTCTTAAGTCTTTCGATATAAGTGGCAGTGTAAATCTCAAGACCTTTTCAACACATCTCCCCACTGTTGTGTATCGACGTTGTATCTCCGAGACGTAACGAACGTGAACTTGGATAGAGATTGAATCGCGCACGAGAGCACTTTCCTTAAAGAGTATTTCGACCCTTCTCAAGCCTTGGGTTACACGAAATCCCTTCTAGGATAAGACAATCAAAGTTCTCTCTTGTTCTAGGCTAAGACACAAGAGAAACAAATAGAGCTTTTGTGTTTTGTTTTTGTGTTTTGCACTAAAGATTAAGACAATCTTTAGTCTCGTGAATCTCTCTTTTCTCCTCTTCTTATTACTCTTTGACACAAGAGAAACAAAGTTTATATATGGTTCAAAAGTTGTGACGTACGTTTGCAACCGTACGTTTAAATAATAACCATAAATTGAATAGTTGCAATGGTTAATTTAATAACCGTCGGTTTACACTTAAATTTATAACATTCCTCCCCCATTTAAGTGTAATCTTTGATTCACAAAATTAACAACACATAAATCAAACTCATGCATAAATGTAAATATCGTAACGATTGAATTTACATCTTAGTAATATTACACATTCCAAATGCTCGAGAATCAAGATGTCCTACGGATTGAATCCTTCAACTCATTTTGAGCACATGAAGATAATACACACACGAATTCACTCACTACTCTAAGTGTTTATCCTTGACACTATTATAAGCCATGTGTCCTTATCCTTTCATGAGTGTGTACAAAGCCAAGTCCGAGCTTCTTGAAGCGGCTACACTTCACACCCATATAGGTAGATCTTTTAATCTTGCACCTGCAAAATGCAATTTTTCAAAAGATCTATTAAGAAGAAAACTTCAACCTAACCTTTTCTTGCAGATCTAAGCACTTACTTTGGGATGATTTAAACTAGTGCTTCAATCTCTAAGTGTGGGCTTTCCGCATTGAATTCAGCCTCTAACGTTGTATTAGAGGGGAATTGGGTATCCCACCATTAGAGATTTCAAATGGACTTTAATCCCATCCCTTTAGCCGACTTGATCACCAAGTCTCTAGCTAGTCCTTTTGTCAAGTGATCCGCTAGATTTTGCTCAGACCGAATAAATCCTATAGTAATCACCCCATGAGTGATCAGCTCACGTATCCCGCTATGTCTCAAGCCTAGGTGTCGCGACTTACCGTTATACACTTGGCTATAAGCTTTAGCCAAAGTAGCTTTACTATCGCAATGGATAGAAATGGGTGACACCGGTTTCAGCCACAATGGAATCTCAGAGACTAAGTTTCTTAACCATTCCGCCTCTCTCCCTGCAGCCGCTAACGCTACAAATTCCGATTCCATAGTAGAATTTGTAATACAAGTTTGTTTCTTTGATGCCCATGAAATGGCACCTCCCCCAAGTAGGAACACCCAACCACTTGTAGAAGAATGATTTTCCTCGTTGGTGTTCCAACTTGCATCCGAATATCCTTCTAAGACCGAAGGAAATCCAAAATATGACAAACCATAATTTATGGTTCCTTTCAAGTACTTGAGCACCCGCCTTACAGCTTGCCAATGATGAGTACTAGGATTACTAGTATATCTACTCAACTTTCCTACCGCATAAGCTATATCCGGTCTAGTGCTAGTCATGGCATACATTAAGCAACCAATTACTCGTGAGTACTCGAGTTGTGATACCGCTTGTCCCGTATTAGGCATAAGCTTCACGCTCGCATCCATGGGAGTGCTCACGGGAGAACAATTTTCATAATTGAACTTTTTAAGCACTTTCTCAATGTAATGTGATTGAGTTAAAGATATTCCTTTGTTCTCACGCTTGATTCGAATTCCAAGAATCACCTCCGCCTCCCCCATGTCTTTCATGGCAAAATTTGATGATAAGAACTCCTTTGTAAGTTCTACTTGTCTAAGGTTGGTACCAAAGATCAACATGTCATCAACATATAAACAAATGATCACTCCATTACCGGAATCATCAAATTTGCTATACAAACACTTGTCCGCCTGATTTAATTTAAACCCATTTGACAAGACAGCCTCGTCAAACCTTTGATGCCACTGTTTAGGTGCTTGCTTTAGACCATATAATGACTTTACCAACTTACACACCTTATGTTCATTACCAAGCATAACAAACCCTTCGGGTTGTTTCATATACACCTCTTCCTCCAAGACGCCATTTAAGAATGCCGTCTTGACATCCATTTGGTGGATCACAAGGTTGTGAATGGATGCCAAGCCAATTAATAACCTTATAGAGGAGATCCTAACAACCGGAGCATATGTATCAAAATAATCAATGCCTTCCTTTTGTCTAAAACCTTGAACAACCAACCGAGCCTTAAATTTGTCGATCGTTCCATCGACTTTCATCTTCTTCTTGAAGATCCATTTGCATCCTAAAGGCTTGCAACCGGGTGGAAGATCCGTTAAGAACCACGTATTATTTCCCATGATGGAATCCATTTCATCATTTACGGCTTCTTTCCAAAAAATAACATCATTAGACGTCATAGCCTCACTAAAAGTTCTAGGTTCATCATCAATATGATAACAATATGAGTATTGGAAACCAATCTCATCTCTTGACCCTTCAACTAAGTAAAGTTGAAAATCGGGACCGAAAGATTTTTCGATTTTCCCTCGTTTACTCTTACGAAGCATAGGTGACTCGTTAGGAGGAACGAACATGTCGTCTCTTTCCTTTGTTCCACTTGAACTAGGAACTAAATCCTTTGGTCTAGGTATCGACGAGAAACGATTCTCATCAAATATTGCATCTCTTGACTCAATTACGGTGTGAACCGCTATAGAATCATTAGGTTCTATGACATAAAACCTATATGCCTTGGAATGCAAGGCATAACCAATGAAGATGCAATCAATACCTCTTTCTCCCAAAGTCTTAATCTTTGGTTGGGGTAATCTAACGATCGCCCTACAGCCCCAAACTCGAAGATAGTTCAAGTTTGGTTTCTTTTTATACCAAAGTTCATATGGAGTAACTTTGTTCCTTTTGTTGGGAACTCTATTTAATAAATAACAAGCCGTTAACATGGCTTCACCCCAAAATCCGTCACTTAATCCCGAGTAAGATAACATGGAATTAACCATTTCTTTTAGAACTCTATTTTTTCTCTCGGATATACCATTTTGTTGTGGCGTATACGGAGCCGTAGTCTCATGTATTATGCCCACGGACTGAAAATACGTAGGATCATAATACTCCCCACCTCTATCGGTGCGTAACTTCTTAACCAAGTCACTATGTTGTAATTCAACCTCGGTTTTATAAACCTTGAGTTTATCTAAGGCCTCATCTTTAGCATGTAATAAATACACATAACAAAAACGAGAATAATCATCTATGAACGTGATGAAATATTTCTTGTTTCCTAAAGATGGTGTAGCATGTAAGTCACATAAGTCACTATGAATAAGTTCAAGCACCTTTGAATTTCTTTCAATGCTTTTAAAAGGTTGTCTAATTATCTTAGTCAACATGCATGTTCTACACTTCTCTATATTCACGTCAAAAGTAGGAATTAATCCTTCTTTAGACATATCAATCATTCTTTTATAATGCACGTGGCCTAATCTTGCATGCCATAAAGAAGTATCATTTTTGCTAGAACATGCCATGTAAATAGAATTGACAACTTTATTAATATTAAGCATAAACATGCCATTACAAAAGTATCCAAATCCAACAAAGATACCACACTTAGATAAGACATACTTGTCTGACTCATACACTTGTTTAAATCCACACTTATTTAAAACACTACCGGAGACTAAGTTTTTCCTAATTCCGGGTACATGAATTACATCATTAAGATCAAGAGTTTTCCCGGAACTAAACTTTAACACCACTTTTCCACGACCTAGGATAGGAGCGGTTGACTCGTTGCCCATATAAAGTACGGATCCATCTTGAACCGGCTCGTACGTCTTGAACCAGCCACGATCCTTGCAAACATGTATTGTTGCACCCGAGTCAATCCACCATGCCACCTCATCATCCTGCACATAGAATGCCTCAGCTATTTTTGATACATAATACACTTTTGAGTATGAATCAAAAACAGAATTCTGACCTTGATGAGAGGATGGGCCTTGATCCTTAGACCCTTGCCCAAAACGGTTTTGTTGCATTTTATTCTTATCCTTTGCTGCCCGACAATCACGTTTGAAGTGACCCGACTTGTTACAAATCCAACAAACGCTCTTGAATCGTTTGTTAGATCCATCATTGGTGTTGTTAGTAAAGGGGCGCTTCTTCCCCTTGTTCTTTATTTTAGAACTCCCACTCTCCTCCATCATATTGATTGAAGAAGTTTCAGCCTCCTTATCTTTGGGTTTTCCACCCTCTTGCACCCTTAGAGATTCCTCTATGCGCAAATGGCTACCAAGTTGTACAAGAGACAACTCTTCCTTTTTGTGTTTTAACATGCGCCTAAAATCTTTCCACGAAGGCGGCAACTTGTCGATGATACACGACACCGAGATGGATTCATCCATCTTCATGTTGTGTTGAGCGAATTGGCCTAGGATGCGAAGTAATTCATTGTATTGCTCCATTACCGGCCTTGAATCGGACATCTTGTAATTATTAAAATCACTCACAAGGAACTTCTTACTAGAAGCATCCTCGGCCATGTACTTCGATTCCAACGCATCCCATAGTTCCTTTGCGGATTCGACATTTTGATAGACATCAAAGAGAGAATCAGACATACCGTTGAGAATGTGGCCACGACATATGTAGTCATCGTTTTCCCACTTAAGTTGCTTCCTTGTCTCCTCCACGGACTCGTTCTCACCATTCTCCGACACGGTGGGCATTGGCACACTTAGAACGTGAACCACATTGAGCGTTGTGAGGAGAAAGTGCATCTTCTTTTGCCATCTTCTAAAATCAACTCCTTCAAACTTATCCAATTTGCCAAACTTTGACGTCATCTCACGCACAGAAACATTAGCCATTGTTCACCGTAAATACTCTTTAAGATTGTTGTGTATCGACGTTGTATCTCCGAGACGTAACGAACGTGAACTTGGATAGAGATTGAATCGCGCACGAGAGCACTTTCCTTAAAGAGTATTTCGACCCTTCTCAAGCCTTGGGTTACACGAAATCCCTTCTAGGATAAGACAATCAAAGTTCTCTCTTGTTCTAGGCTAAGACACAAGAGAAACAAATAGAGCTTTTGTGTTTTGTTTTTGTGTTTTGCACTAAAGATTAAGACAATCTTTAGTCTCGTGAATCTCTCTTTTCTCCTCTTCTTATTACTCTTTGACACAAGAGAAACAAAGTTTATATATGGTTCAAAAGTTGTGACGTACGTTTGCAACCGTACGTTTAAATAATAACCATAAATTGAATAGTTGCAATGGTTAATTTAATAACCGTCGGTTTACACTTAAATTTATAACACCCACGAGTGTAACAGAGCTTCACCTAGACAATAGTGGTATTGAGAGTATTACAGATTGCATCAGAGGTCTTCATAATCTACGTGTCCTTGCTCTATCAAACTGTAAAAAACTCAAGTCATTGCCGAAGCTCCCGAGTTCACTCAAATGGCTACGGGCTAACTATTGTGAATCACTAGAGAGAGTAAGTGAACCTTTAAACACACCAAATGCAGACCTCGATTTCAGCAACTGCTTCAAATTGGGTCGACAAGCACGACGAGCGATTTTTCAACAATGGTTTGTTGATGGGCGGGCTCTCTTACCAGGAAGAAAAGTACCTGCACTGTTCGATCATCGAGCCAGAGGAAATTCGTTAACAATTCCTAATTCTGCTTCCTATAAGGTTTGCGTTGTGATTTCTACAGAGTTCGATCATCAAGCCAAAGATTCTACTATAGTTTCAAGACTATTGTGTCGTTGCAGAGTCATCGGCAACTTAGTAAACTCCACTGACGTTAAGTTTGTCCTATCCGATATCTGCAAATATAGAATGGAGCATCTGTTTATATTTCATATAACGAATCCGATGCCATTCTTTTACCCCTCTAGCAGAGAGATAGTGCTCGAATTCAGCAGCATATACCAAGATTTCGACATTATTGAATGTGGTGTCCAGATCTTGACGGATGAAACAGATGGAAACAAAAATGGGGGATCTGGAGATGAAGATGATCTCTGGTATATACATGAATTCAGCGAATCATTGGACAAAGAAGAAAAAGATAATGATAGCGTCGCTAAGTCTGAATCCTGCGGAGTGTCAGACAAAGATGATGAAGAGGGAAACAAAACTGTATCTGGAGAAGCGTCAAAAGACAAAGACGAGGATATCGCCGACGACAGTGACTCCGAATCCATATCCAAGAAGCATCCGAGGAAGAGGACGATGATAATTGCTACTACTAATCTGAAGAAATGGATTCTCTGTCTTTTACTATTTTTCTTGTTTTCGTTTGCTTTTGTTAAAGTCTCTATCTACTTTGATCTTCTCTAACATATGCCGGTAATTCCTTGCTATAATATGTTAGTAAGTATCTCAGTAAAAGTTCCCTCACTTCATATGGAGATGAACAAAACTTGTATTATGTTATTTTTGTGATAGGGTATTTTGTATAAAATGACAAATTATGTAAAAAAAAAACTTTTTTCATTGTTACATAGTGGGAAGAATGAGAATGAATGGAAAGATGTAATGAAAAGACGCTATTTGTGTACGTTTCCGTCTTGTTCAATTATGTGAACGCTGTATTCACTGACGGAAATTTGGATGGCTAAAAAAGTGATGCAGCGTCACTACACATCTTCATGGGCTGAAGCGAGAGTTTTAGTTTCGGTTTTTATGTTGGGCTTTTGGTTGTTAACGTATTTCCTTTTCTGTTCTTTACTTGACCGACATTGTCTTAGGGTTTTAGCTTAACGCACAAGTAGTATAAGTAGGGTACTTGCAGCTTTATTGTTCTTTGGTTTTTGATTAATAAAAGAGAATTGCTTTCTCAATACTCTTGTGCGAATTCATCATTCAAACAAGATCTATCGACAAGCTTCTTAAAGTTTTGCAAATCTTTAAGTTTCTTGTCTCTTACGCTTCTAGCTGCTACATTAGTTGGTATCAGAGACAGGGACGTTCTTTCACCATGCCGCCAAAGAAGATTCAGCAAACACAGCGTGACGAGCAGACCGCTGCTTTCCGTGAGGTTTTCACCGAGTTTTCTAAGGATCTAAGGCAAATTATGCAGGATTCTGTTGCAAACACTGTGAGAGCTGTGCTTCAAGCTCAGATTCAAGCGCAGCCAAGAAGACCTAATCGGAATAATCCGGTGTTTGATGAAGAATCAGATGGGGATGATGAAAATCCGTTTGCCTTGGGAAACCAGCAACATGGAAATCAGCAACAAGCGTTAGGTGATGTTCTTGGTGGAGAAAATCACCGTTGGGAGTCGGGTTTTCGACTCTTCCGGAGTTCTCGGGTAGTGTGAAACCAGAAGAGTTTCTTGATTGGTTAAGTGCGATAGAGGAGTTGTTAGATTTCAAAAGTGTCCATGTTGACAAGCGTGTTCCTCTTGTGGCAACACGTTTCAGAGGACGAGCTTCGGCGTGGTGGCAACAACTCAAAGTTCAACGAGCTAATTCTGGAAAAAGTAGTGTGGATACATGGGAAAAACTGAAGAAAGATATGCGCCGTTACTTTCTTCCTTACAATTATGCGAGGACAGTTTACACCCAGTTTCAAAATTTGCGACAAGGAACTCGAAGTGTTGATGAGTATTCCTCAGATTTTTTTTCTCTGCTTGCTCGCAACAGTTTTTCTGAGGCAGAGGAGCACTCTATTTCACGCTTCATTGGAGGTCTTAAGCAGCAGATACAAAACCAACTTTTGCTTTTTAATCCGACATCTATTTCTGAAGCACATCAAAGAGCGGTGTTGATTGAGCAAAATTTGCGTTCCTCTTCTTCATGGAATTCATCTACTCCTCGTTTCCGAGCTGTTACCAATGGAGAGACTAGTCACTCCATTAAAACGGAGCAGCCTACATCGTCTACTATTCAAGATGTCAACGGCACAGTCTCGGCTCTAAAACCTACTCGATCTTTGACATTTAAGTGCTTTAACTGTGGGGAAACAGGGCATCGTCAGCCATATTGTCCTAAACGTGTTCTGTTTGGTGAAGAAGAAGTTGTGTATGATGAAGAAATCAAAGCTCAAACACAAGAAGAAACAGAGGAACAAGTTGTAGGGGATACGGGTATTGCTTTAGTGATTCGGAGAAATTTTTTTACCCCTCACGTTACAATTCGAGGAAAAGTCTGTCGTCTCATAATTGATGCAGGTAGTTGCACAAACATTGTTTCAGAAGAAGCTTTCTCTATTGGGGCAAATTACAAGGATTTGGTTTGTTGCGATGTGATACCAATGGATGCTTGTCACATTCTTTTAGGGCGTCCATGGCAATACGACCGGCGTACAATTCACGATGGCTTTGTTAACACTTATAGTTTCAGCTATGAAGGAAATCGTATTACTCTTCTACCTTCACAAGATTCTGCTCCATCTTCTCAATCTGACACAAGCTTAATACAAGTTTCTCCATCAACGAAGTCATCACAACCTGTGTTGTTGGTTAAGGCAACACAATTCTTTGAAGAATGCGAGATAACTAAGGGCGGAATGGCTCTTATTTTAAAACCTATGTCTTCACCTTCTAACTGCGACGTGCCAGCGGAGTTCCAGGCTATTGTCACAGAATTTAGTGATGTTTTCCCAGAGGAGCTGCCTTCTGGTCTTCCTCCTTTACGGGACATTCAACATTGCATCGACCTAGCTCCAAACACTGCCTTACCGAATAGACCACATTATCGTATGTCACCACAAGAGCATGATGAGTTGCGTCGACAAGTTGAGGAGTTATTATCAAAAGGATACTTGCGAGAAAGCCTTAGTCCCTGCGCGGTACCCGCTCTTCTTATTCCTAAGAAAGATGGTATGTGGCGAATGTGTGTCGATAGCCGTGCAATTAACAAGATTACAGTTCGGTATAGGTTTCCGATACCGCGTCTTGATGATTTACTTGATCAGATTGGATCAGCCACCATTTTTTCCAAGCTAGATCTTAAAAGCGGGTACCACCAAATTCGTATTCGGCCTGGAAATGAATGGAAGACAGCCTTTAAAACTCGTGAAGGCTTATTTGAATGGCTAGTAATGCCTTTTGGTTTGTCTAATGCGCCAAGTACCTTTATGCGCGTTATGAATCAAGCTTTGAGGCCTTTTATCGGACGTTGTGTTGTAGTGTATTTCGATGATATACTGATTTTTAGCTTATCCCTTTCAGATCATCTCCAACATTTACGTGATGTGTTAACGGTTTTAAGACGTGAACAATTATTTGGAGCAAACAAGAAGTGCTCTTTGGAGTTTCTCAAGTATTGTTTCTCGGCTATGTAGTGTCCCAACAAGGTCTTTCTGTTGATCCAGCTAAAGTTGAAGCAATTAGTTCTTGGGCAACTCCACGAACGGTAACCGACGTTAGAAGCTTTCATGGTCTCGCATCATTCTATCGTCGTTTTATTCACCATTTTAGTAGCATTATGGCACCTATAACTGATTGCATCAAGTTGACACCATTTGTATGGACCAAAGCTGCGGAAGAAGCTTTTCAAGTGATTAAGACAAAGCTTACAACAGCTCCAGTTTTAACACTCCCGAACTTTGACCTTGCGTTTGAACTTCATTGTGATGCTTCTAAAACAGGGATTGGTGCGGTTCTAAGTCAAGAAGGTAAACCGGTTGCGTTTTTTAGTGAGAAAATTGGCGGGGTTGCATGAGAGATATAGCACTTACGATGTTGAGTTATACGCGGTGGTGCAAGCAATCAAACATTGGAGACATTATCTTTTTCACCGAGAGTATGATGCTCTTAAGCTTATGAGTTCTCAAGATAAGGTATCCTCACGACATGCTGCTTGGTTTTCTTGTCTTCAACAGTTCACTTTTGTTATCAAACATAAAGCGGGAACACTTAATAGAGTCGCTGACGCTCTCAGCCGTCGTCATGCCTTAGTAGCTTCAATGCATGTTTCGGTTGTTGGATTTTCAGTTCTTCCCGATCTATACCCAGTGGATCCTTTTTTTGGAAAGATATGGACTGATGTTCAACGTGGAGACAATGATGACTACATTATTGTTGACGGATTTTTATTCAAGGGTTGTAGACTTTGCATTCCCGATTGTAGTCTACGCTTACAAGTGATACGAGAGCTCCATTGCGAGGGACATGTTGGCAGAGATCGAACACTTCAGTTAGTAACCGCATCATATTTTTGGCCGACTTTACGACGTGATGTCGAACGTTTTGTTGTACGATGCAGGATTTGTCAGAAACAATGGCTAGAAAGCCACTTTCTAGGAAAATAAAAGCTAGAATGCCACTGTCTTATTTGTAATTTAATTTACTTTTTTTTTTTAAATCAAAAGTGATGGAAATGTCCAAAAAACCTTTTAGAAAATCGGAAACTACCGATCCAACCTAAACAATCCGACCCAAGTCCAATAAAATGGATTACCCAATCCTGACCCACTAACCTAATTGTAAAAGAAAAACTTAGAAAAAAAAAATCTCGAAACTGATCTTTTCGTAGCATATGTCGGAGAAATCAAAATCGAATCGGTGATGATGAAGATGAACCGGACTGTATCATCGAACTTGGAAACAGAGAGTTACAACAAATCACCACTCTCCTCTTCAATTTTATTCTCCGTCATCAGTGGCCAGAGATTTATCGGAGAGCCGTTACATATTTTTTAGGGATCTCCGTTCAAAATCGAGAATCCCATGCCTTTGACATCAAGCGCTCTGCTTCTCTCTTGTTGCCATGTCTAATTTCAGCACGAAAAGCAGCTAGCCATAGCCCATAGCCAGAGTGGGAACTACACGAGCTTTGTTGAGCCCATTCACTTTCTCTTCAAGATCAGCGAGCGAGAGCCACAATGTTGTGCACTCGGGATAGTGCGTCAAACCAGATGTATAAGCGTTCTTGGCCTGTTCCAATTGCCTAAACATTCCCCAAGCTGCCCAAGCATCAACCAAAGCTTGAAGAATACTGGGAATTTCTTCACTCTTTCTTCAAGCAATCTCCTCTCCACCTCCTTGTTCTCACACTCGAGCTTAAAAGCAGCAAGCCAGATTTCCAAGATTGGTGCTGATTTGGCTATCAAAGAAGTTGGAGATGGCAATCTCAATTACGTTTTCATTGTTGTTGGATCGTCTGGTTTTCTTGTCATCAAACATGTTTGCTTTACTCTGTCATTGCTTTGATCTAGAGGATAAAATGAACAAGTTTTGATTTCTTGACTTCCAAAATAAAATGAATAGGTTTTCAGTTTTCAAGAAATTAGATTGGTGATTATCTATGTCTTTTGTCTTTATTTATTTATACAGACACTTCCATATATTTGATGTATCCGGGAATCTTGGCTAATGACGAAAGAAAGAGCTTACTTTGAAGCAAAAACTTTGAGAAAACATGGAAATTTATCTACTTAGGAGCTATAAGGAACATAA